ACCCAGGCGCCCCTGGACCTTCATTTCTAAATATCATTTTCCACCTAAAGGAACCAGGGCTCCATGGAAAAATGATTGGTTAGGGCTGGGACTGGGAAAGTACAAGATGAGCCTGGAATATCTCGCTGGATAATGCTCAAAGAATGACACGAACGTGTCCAAAGGACACAGGAGTCAGCCAGCCTGACACTTATCCTAATGGCCAAAACTAGGACAATGCAAGCATCAAAATTGTAACTATAACAACAACAAAAAAGAATTGTAACTCACTGAACAAAATAAGAATTCATGAATCCACACTAATATAAATAACAGAGCGGAGAGCTCCTCCTTTCAGTAAAATGTAGAGGAGTAATAGAAGAACCACCATTTGGCAACCACAACAGTAATTGCTTGTTTCAGGAAGGACTCCTCAGTGGATGCTAAAGCTAGTGGGTAAAAGTTTGATGAGAAAAAGGTGATTTAAAAGTCTTAAAATATCCCCTAATAGAACCCTCCTACACTGTTGGTGGGAATGCAAGCTGGTGCAGCCACTCTGGAAAACAGTATGGAGGTTCCTCAAAAAGTTGAAAATAGAGCTACCATACGATCCAGCAATTGCACTTCTGGGTATTTACCCGAAAGATACAAATGTAGTGATCCGAAGGGGCACCTGCACCCCAATGTTTACAGCAGCAATGTCCACAATAGACAAACTACTGAAAGAGCCCAGATGTCCATCGATAGATGAATGGATAAAGAACATGTGTTATATATATATACACACACACACATACACACACACACACACACCATGGAATATTATGCAGCCATCAAAAAAAGAAATCTTGCCATTTGCCACAATCTGGAACTAGAGGGTATTATGCTAAGCAAAAGAAGTCAATCAGAGAATGACAATTATCATATGATCTCACTCCTATATGGAAGTTAATAAACAAAACAGAGAATCATAGGGGAAGAGAGGAAAAAATAAAACAAGACAAAACCAGAGAGGAAGACAAACCATAAGAGACTCTTAATCATAGGAAACAAACTGAGGGTTGCTGGGGGTGGAGGGGGAAATGGGGTAACTGGGTGATGAACATTAAGGAGGGCATGTGATATAATGAGCTCTGGGTATTATATTAAGACTGATGAATCACTGATCTCTACCTCTGAAACCAGTAAAACATTATATGTTAACTGAATTTAAATAAAAAAATAAAAATAAATAACCCAATTAAAAAATGAATAAAGGGCTTGAAAGAAATTTGTCCAAAATGATATACAAATACTTCTGAAACCAATAATACATTATATGCTAATTAATTAATTTAAATAAAAAATATGTGTGTATGTGTATATATATACACATACACACAAATACACACACACACACACATATATATCGCCTAATACTTTTTAATTCCAAATGGGGAGATAGAACTTTACAGTGGAGACACCTGGCAAACACCACCTTAACCAAGAGATCAGAGTTAATACCACAACGTCAACATGTGCCTCCTGCTAGGATGTGCTTCTGCGGTATTCCTGTGCATTCATTCTAACAACCTGAATCTAACTATGCAAAACACAGACCCAAACTGAAGAATATTCTGTAACTGTGCCGTCCAACAGAACTTTCTGCAATGCTGGAAGTGTTCTCTATATCTGCCCTGCCCAATAGGGCAGCCACAGTCACATGGAACCACCGAAAGCATGATGAAGCACATACTGTTTTAAATGTTTAAGACTTTGAATCATGAGGTGCCTGGGTTGGCTCAGTCAGTTAAGCATCTGACTTCGGCTCAGGTCATGATCTCAGGGTCCTGGGATAGAGCCCAGCATCAGGCTCCCCGCTTAGTGGGAGTCTGCTTGTCCCTCTCCCTCTGCCCCTCCCCCCACTCATGCTCTCTCTCTAATAAATTCTTAAAAAAAAAAAAAAAAGACTTAGAATCAAGATGAAAGGTATATGGTGGGGCACCTGGGTGGCTCAGTCGGTTAAGCGTCTGCCTTTGGCTCAGGTCATGAGCCCAGGGTCCTGGGATCGAGCCCCACGTTGGGCTCCCTGCTCAGAGGGTGTTTTTCCCTCTCCCTCTGCTGCTCCCCCCAGCTTGTGCTCCATCTCTCTCTCTCTCTGCTCTCTCAAATAAATAAAATCGTAAAAACAAAAAAAAGAAAGGTATATGGAAAGTTTTTATACAATTTTTGCAACTATCTATAATTCTGGCATTAGGTCAAAATAGACATACAAGGAGCACCTGGATGGCTAAGTAAGTTAAGCGTCTGACTTCTCAGGTCATGATCTCAGGGTCCTGGGATGGAGACCTGTGTGGGACTCCTCGCTCAGCAGGGAGTCTGCTTAGTCCCTCTGCCCCTCACTCTGCTTATAATCGCTCTCTCTCAAATAAAATCTTTAAAAAAAAAAAAAAAAGTAAAACATACAAAAAGTCTTAAAAATCAGGATCTCATCATGTATTCACACACAAAAATTATACTGTTAATATACATGAATAAGAACAGTAGTAACTAAAATCTTGTGAAGTTCTAATCAAATATGACATACTGAACAGAGTATTTGTATCCACTCTCTCCCAAAACTTAGTACTGACAATAAGGAAATAAAAAACATAGGGCTTGTTGATATGATGTGCTGAAAATGGTACTTTACCTCTGTGGTTTTCCTCCCAATATCCCATAACTACAGTCTAAGCATGAGAAAAACATCAGACAAATCCCAAGGACATCCAACAAAATCCCTGATTAGTCCTCCTCAAAACTGTCCAGGTCATCAAAACAAGGAAAGTCTGAGAAACTGTCATAGCCAAAAGGAGCCTAAGGAGACATGATACTTAAATGTAATACAGGATCCTGGAACAGAAAAAGAACATTAGGTAAAAACAAAGGAAATCTAAATAAGCTATAGAATTTACTTAATAGTTTACTTAATAATTATGTATCAATATTGGCTCATTAATTGTTACAAACATACCATACTAATATAAGACATTAACAACAGGTGAACCTGTAGAGGGTATGTGAGAACACTGCACTTTGTTCTCAATTTTTCTATAAATCCAAAACTGCTCTAAAAAATAAAGTGCTTTTTTAAAAGTGTGACTGCAAACTATAAATGCTTCCAGATATAGAAGGCTTCAGAATTCATCTCCCATGTATTATTTTTCATACATTCTCCCATGTATTTCTAGAGATATACTCTAGCAAAACAGAGAATTAAACCAAGAAAGAAGACACAGGATGCACACAAGAGATCCATGGGGCGCCTGGGTAGCTCAGTCAGCTGAGCGTCCAACTCATGATTTTGACTCAGGTTATGATCTCAGGGTCTTGGGATCAAGCCCCTCAACAGGCTCTGCACTCAGAGCACAGTCTGCTGGTCCCTCTCCCTCTGCTCCTCCCCCCACTGTCTCCCTCTCTAAAATAAATAAATAAAAATCATAAAAAAAAAAAAGAGAGAGAGATCTAATACAGGATCAAGCAAAGACCGTCCCCAGGATGATGGTGAAGTCAAGTCCTAGGCATCTGTGTATCTGAACTCAAGAGCAACCAGCTCACAATGAAGCAAAAGTATCTGGAGGTGGGAGTAAGTGCTAAACAGAGGATACTAAGCAGTTAAAAAAAAAAGGCAATTACCAATTCCAGGAAACATCTAAGTTGTTAGAGAAAGGAAATGTAATCACTGTACACTGCAGCTTAGCTCTGAACAATATTTACACAGACAATAAGAAATACTGAATAATGATTTAACTGCAAATGATAATCCATCTTGTTTTAAATCTAAGACATCACTCAATAGAAATCATACCATTACTTTATTTACTATTGCTTACTACTAAAAGGGGAAAGAAATGCTGCCAATTAAATAACACCATCGCGTAAAGATGTATACCAATTTCTCAGAGTTGTTAAAATGTAAAAGAATAGCTTCTTAAAATCAATTTAATATATTAATCACATTGAAAGGAGAAAGAAGTATTTGCATTGGGAGCAAATGGTGTAAAAAAGCTAAACTGTGACCTTCCTTGCACAGAAGGAAGTCAATATATAATGTCTAAAATTGATGGGGGAAAAAAGAAAGAACAATATCAGTTTGTTACATAGAAACATGGAGAAAAATGCTAGAAGAAACCGCTAAAAGAGCTGACAGTAAGGGCTTCTAAGGTAGAGGACACCAAGGTAGCAGGGAGGTGGAAAAGACTCCCATTTTTCATTTGAGATTTGCCTATTTAAACCATTTACATGCATTACCTTCATAAAAATAAATGTAAAAAATCAAAGCAACAACAATAAAATCAAAGCAACAATAATCTAGAGCTATCAGGAAGAAAATTCAACAGATGAAATACTTGCAAATTTTTTTATGTACCATGACAGAGGATATCAAGAAAAACCTGAGAAAAAAGATATACAACCCCAAACCCAATGCAGTCTCAATGTTATACAAATCCAATTTTTTTTTTTTTTAAAGATTTTATTTATTTGACAGAGACACAGTGAGAGAGGTAACACAAGTAGGGGGAGTGGGAGAGGGAGAAACAGGCTTCCCATGGAGCAGGGAGCCCGATGTGGGACTCAATCCCAGGACCCTGGGATCATGACCTGAGCCGAAGGCAGACGTTTAACGACTGAGCCACCCAGGCGCCCCTACAAATCCAAATTTTAAGTGACATTATAGCAAAGTGAAAATATTCAATCAAACCTATTCTAAATCTTGTTCATTTTACCCATCCAGTCACACAGATGTTGATTTAAGATAGCTCAAAAGTTGACCTGCTAGAGGCAAAAAGGCGTGGGAGTGACACCACAGCTTCAAGTTGACTTCCTGCTTCATTAGATAAGACCCAACTGACTCAATTAGGAGGGTATATTATTTCCAGCTACAGCAAAGTTACATAACACAAAAATAAACTTAGAAAAAGTCATAATTGCCTATAAGAGTATAACATGTAAAATTACTTTTAGCCTACCCTGCCATTAAGTTTCCATTATTTGTCACTTACATCTTGAAACATTTTGTTTTCTTGTTTCAGTCTCGCTTCTTTATCATCTGAGAGTTTGTAAGCATTCTCAAATGCTTCTTCTAAATCCTGCAGTCGAGATTTTAGTCGAATGATGGTATTGTCTTTTTCTTTATTACTTATTCTCATTTCCTCAATCCGTTCCTGCAAAATTTTGGAAGCACTGCTGGCTGCATTGAAGCGTTCTCTGAAATCACTCTACAAAATAAAAACAAAGATAATAAATTGTTTTTAATTAAAAAAAAATAGATGTTTCAAGAGCACTTAACAAATTGTGGGCATTAAACTATAAAAGAAAAGTAATAAAACCTACAAATGGGAATCACAAATTTAATATTTTGTTATGTCTTGGGATGGAGACTAAAAAGGATTACTCTACTAAAATAACAACTTCAGGGGCTCCTGGCTGGCTCAGGCAGTAGGCATGCAACTCTTGATCCTGGGGTTGTAAGTTCGAGCCCCACATTGGGTATAGAGTTTACTTAAAAACAAAATCTTTAAAATAAATAATTTTTTTTTAAAACCACCTTCATTTAAAAAAAAAAAAAATCTTCATGAGATTATCATGAAGTATAGACACAAAACCACTGTTTGAGGCATTATAATGCTGGACTCACTTGTAGGTCACTTTAATGAAAAAAATAACCATGGCTATCAGGAAAATTATTCTGAAAGCACAGCTGGAATCTGTTGCCTCATGTTAATATTTAGAGAATAATAAAGCATTTCTTATCCTATTTTCTCACTTACTAAGAAAATAAAAAATTCAAAACACAACTGACATGTTAGTATTCATTCAATAATCATTTCTTAAATATCCACTAGGTGCCAGGCAATACAGTGCCAGAAATATAAGATTAGCAAGAAAGACAAGTCCCTGACCTCAAGAAGCTTCCAGTTTAGGAGACAAAGACAACTAAAAACACATCAAAGAAAGACAAAGAAACAGTGCACAGAACATAACTTCATCTTCCACCGAAACGTTACTTATAAAGTTACATGTAGAAGAATAAAACTTCGTAATGAATGAAAAAAATTTTTTTTTAAGTTTATGCATTCCAGTTATACATCCAAGAAAATTAAAAACATAAGTCCACATAAAATCTTGTATACAAATATTCATAGCACTGTCATTCATAACGTCCAAAAAATGAAAACCAAAACATCCATCACCTGATGAATGGATAAATATGGTCTATCCCTACAATGAATGTTACTTAGCCATAAAAATAATGAAATACCAATTCATGCTACAACATGGATAAACCTTGAAAACATCATGCTAAGTGAAGGAAGCCAGACACAAAAGGTCATATATATGATTCCATTTACACCAATGTCCAGAATAGGCAAACCCAAAGAACAGAAAAAAGAGTAGTGGTTACTAGGGGCTGGGGAGAAGGAGTTTTGGAGTTAGGAGGGAAAGACTGACGGCTAAGGGATTCAGGGTTTCTCTCAGTGAGAAAATACTCTAAAACTAACTGTGGTGACGGTTGCAGAAGTTTGCAAATATACTAAAAACCACAGAATTATACACTTCCAAAGAGTTTTATGATATGTAAATTATATCCCAATAAAAAAATGAAAATTTTAAAGTGTAAAAGTTTATCCTAGCATAGGAAGCCAGTAGCTTTCAAAATATAAATAAGACATCCTAACAAAAAAAAAACCAAAACACATAGCCAATGTTTTTATAAAACTATTAATTTGTCTCTAAAGTTCAGTTAACAAAAAGGTTTAAGTTTTTTGTTTTTTTTTTTAAATATTTTATTTATTTATTTGAGAGAGAGAATGAGATAGAGAGAGCATGAGACGGGGGAGGGCCAGAGGGAGAAGCAGACTCCCTGCCGAGCAGGGAGCCCGATGTGGGACTCGATCCCGGGACTCCAGGATCATGACCTGAGCCGAAGGCAGTCACCCAACCAACTGAGCCACCCAGGCGCCCAAGGTTTAAGTTTTTAACACTAAGCCACTAAACAAAAAAAGAGTACTTACGACTTCTATTTCCAGTAAGTTATTCTTATTTTCAAGTGTTCTCACACGACTGGTAGCTTCATTCAGAGCACTATCTAAATGGCCACATCTAAAAACCATAAATTGAAACAAAAAAATTAGAAGATAAAATCCTTTCCCTTAAAAGCATGCTATAAATCTCATTCTCTAATATGTAAACAAATTCTCCAATGTTAGTGAACACTAAGGATGTCATGTTAATAAATACATCCCAATAAAATTGATACTATTTTCCAGAGAAAATAACAATATGAAAATATCCCTAATAGTTAAGTGAAAAAAGCTAAAATATGAACAGACATTTGTACACCCATGTTCCCAAAAGCAAAATGCACACAAGCCGAAAGATGGAAGCAACCCAAGTGTCCAGAAGGATGAATAGATAATCAAAGTGTGGTTTATCCATCCAATGAAGTAGTACTCAGCCCTAAAAAGGATGAAATTCTAGGGGTGCTTGGGTGGCTCAGTTGGTTAAGCATAGACTTTTGATTTCAGCTCAGGTCATGATTCAGATTGGTGAGATCAAGCCCCTCATCGGGCTCTGTCCTGGGCATAGAGCCTGCTTGAGATTCTCTCTCTCCTTCAAAAAAAAAACAAAAAAAAAAGGGGGTGAAATTCTAACACCTGCTATAACATGGATGAACCTTGAGGGCATTATGCTAAGTGAAACAGGCCAGACACAAAAGGACAAGTATGATTCTACTTATACAAGGTTCCCAAGTTCACATGAGGTGTCAAATTCATAGGAAGTAGGATGCTGGGTGCCAAAGGCTGGAGAGTTGTTGCTTAATGGGAACAGGGGTCAGGTTTGCAAAATGAAAAAGTTCTTGGGGCACCTGGGTGGCACAGTCAGTTAAGCATCTGCCTTTGGCTCAGGTCATTATCCCGAAGTCCTGTAATCGAGCCCTACATCGGGCTCCCTGCTCCACAGGGAGCCTGCTTCTCCCTCTCCCTCTGCCTGCCGCTGCCCCTGCTTGTGCTCGTTCTCTCTCTCTCTCTGTCAAATAAATAATATCTTTAAAAAAATTATATTTAAAAATACAGGATACAGAAGACTGCATAAAATAGCTTGATCTTTGTTACAGAAAAAAACCTATATATACATCTGTGCATTATGATTTCTAAGATATAAAACTTAAGTTTGGAATGTAAGCACAGAGGTTGGGTAGGGAGACCTTTCATATTGCATCCCTCTGTACTTTTCCAAATTAGCATGAATGTATTATTCTTATAATTAAAGACCTTCGTAAAGTCAATCATCACAGAACCTCAAAATCACAAAATACACATTAGGATTCTGTTATCATTTTGACTCGGTGTTAATGAATTGTGAATAAAAGCTAATATCTATTTGGCACTGATTACATGCCAAGTCTATGTTAAGCACTTTACATTCATCCTATGAGTTAGGACTGCTATCATTTTACAGATGAGAAAACAGAGAAGCTGAATTCCTCCTGGATTGTAAGCAATCACTGGGATTTGAAACCTGTCAGTGTGACTCCAGAGTTCACGCTCCTAACCACTGTGCATTAATGCCCTGCAGAAATCAAATACTGATAAAACTGCTCTTGAAAGAGGGCGCCTGGGTGGCTCAGTCATTAAGCGTCTGCCTTCCGCTCAGGTCATGGTCCCGGGGTCCTGGGATCGAGCCCTGCATCGGGCTCCCTGCTCAGCCAGAAGCCTGCTTCTCCCTCTCCTTCTCCCCCTGCTTGTGTTCCCTCTCTCACTGTGTCTCTCTCTCTCAAATAAATAAATAAAATCTTAAAAAAAAACCAAAAAACTGTTCTTGAAAGAAAGAGCGCCAAAGAGTCAAGTGTAGGTATGTTAACTATAATTTTCTATTTTAACCACCACACCAATTGTGGTAGGCGACCATGTGACAGAACAATCTGAGACCACAGCTGGCCCACAATGTGTCAGTGGCCCCATTTACAGTACCAGGGGGATTCTCCCACTTGCAATTTTAAGTCTGAAAAAACCTGATGTGTATGCCGACAAGTTAAAATTGGCTTTGTCTCAGGTCAATCATTTCTCCAGTCCCGGGTGACGGCTCTCCATACCCGGCCTTCCGCGCCCCTCCTGCTGCTCTCGCCTTCCATCCTGCCTTCCAGTTCGTCCCACCTACACCACCTCACCCACCGCTCTAGCAGCCTCCGGACAAAACAAGTGCTTTCCTCAGCTATCCTGTCCTAGGCGCCTTCTCCGGCAGCCTATCGTTAACCTAAGGAGGCCTCCTGGGGGGCTGCTTTCACACTTCCGTTTTCCACAGGAAGTACCTGTAGTCCTCTTTGCCTTCCTCAAAACAACAAAAAAAACAAGAACTGACTTCCCCTAGCCTGCCAGCTACTCTTTTCCTTTTATCCTAGAAAACCTAAACCTGGCTTCTTTCTGGCTTTTTTCAAACTACTGCTCTTTACCACTGCACCCCCAGTCCCAGGCCCACCCCCAGCAGCAAATGGAAGCTGCGGTAACTCCCAGGAATAAGACAGACTGTTAACTACCACAGCAACAGCAAGCTAGTATAAAGGCTAGTTTACCTAAAATTCTGCAAGTTAAACTATTAACTGGACCAGATGATTTCAGTTCCCTCCTAATCTTTTCTCAAGGGGCTTTGTCTTTGTCTGCCTTGGAGAACAATTGTTTGCTGCTATATCAACCTCAGCAGTTTTCAATCTGTTTAAGTCCCATTTAAATGTAAAATATGTAGCAAATACGCTGTTATTACAGTTAGAGCATCGAATTTTGTTAATGATTCTCTCTCTAAAACAGGTATTTGGCTATCCTCAACGTAATTGTCCCCTGTGATTCCATGTTGGTTTCTTTTTTCAGCAGGATAATTGCTTCCACAGGTTCATGAGTGTCTGGATTAAGTTATGTGAAATCTGGGTTTAAGAAAAGATTGAGAACTGCTCAAGGACGTTAGTCAGAGATTTCTTAGGAAATCCATCCACAGTTCTAATCCACCCATAAATGACATTCCTTTAAATATACAAAATCTGCTCAACTATTTCAGTATTTTATCTGTATGAAACAAATGCCCTCATGTCAGCTACCAGTTTGCTATATAAGGTTGGTTCAAACCTATAAAAATAGGCAAATATATCTGTTAAGATTTTCAAATCTAAAACATGTTTTCAAACTCTTTTATCACAATATAGTATACTTGGAAAAAATAACATATCCAAGTTGGAGAAACACTAACTTTATAGTTGAATTAGAAATTTTACCTGTCTACAAGAATTTGGTTGGTTTTCTTCCAATCTTCAACTGCAGAAATTTCCTTTGCCTCCAGTTTCTGTTTCAAACTATTTATTTCTGATTCATAATAAGCTCGAAGATCCGCTATGTGTCGAGCATGCTTTTCCTTCAGGTTCTGCCTAATTCTGTTGTTGAGGGCAAAAAAATTTTTTAGGAGAGCATTTACTCACTCTCTATCCCACAAGAGAAACCAAGAACATAATCTCTCGTAAGCAAAAGTACAGCCTTTTTCCTCTGCGCACCCACATAAAACATAATAGATTAATACACACGTTGACAACTAATTAAGCAAAAAATGAAAGACGTGGATTAATTTTTAGATATTCTACCTTAAAAATGCTGTATCTCTAAGATTTTATACATTAGGGAAGGTCAATAAAAATCATTTTCATCATTCAAGCAGACGTCATACAAAATCGATTAACATTACAAGCCATGCACTGAATACATACTTGGACAATATCACAGGATCTTCCAGGGAAGCCAAGGAAATGCATTCTGGGACACTGTTGACTGTCCCTGGAAGCTGGGACTGACTGACTGAGGCTGAGGTTACCATGACAGTGTTTTCTTCATCTATAGTGTTGACCGAGATGTCATTACTAGTAATAGTATAAACTGAAGGATACGTGGAACTGGTCCTACTTTCATTTTGGAACCCATGATTTTTCCAAGAGTCCACTGGTGAAGCTTTTGTATTTGAAGGATATTTTGGGAATCCAGATAACTGAGAAGCGATATTACTTGCTTGTGGAAATGAGTCTATGTCAGAGTGACTAGACATACTAGGTTCTAGAACAGAGTCTGGTGAAAAGGATATTCTGTCATCAAGGTCATTCAAAAAGCCTTGTGGTTGAATCCCTGAAATCTGCTGATTTGGCTTCATGTGTAACGTTGGATCTAGAGTTAGTACCTAGAAATAAGACAGACAACAGTAAGGTTTTGCCCTCAGTACTCAGTGTTTGTTTTTAAGTGAGAAGGCTTTAGATCTCCTGGGGAAAATTGTTTTTAAGTGAGTAGGCTTTAGATCTCCTAGGGAAAATAAAGCTTAAGATGAAAGTTAAGAGCCATAAAGCATCTTTCATTTTCACTCAGCAGAGTGTTGACAATTTACCTCTGGTGGATGATTTGGGTTGGAAGTAGAAGTGAGATTCCTCTCAGGTAACTGCTTGTTTTCCCTTTGTTTTTTATGATAAATATCCTTCAGTGATGGTAGCTTCATCTCATTACTAGTATTAGACTTAAAGATATGAAACAAAATTTAAATAGTATTATCAACGATGAAAAAAGTTTACTGATATCAAGATCAGCACCACAAAAAGATTTCTGGAAGATTTTAAATGAATTGAGACTCTAGACTTTCGGACTTATAAAACAAATTTAGAAGTCATTACCTGTTAATTATGAGTCTTCCTCAGAATGAAAAAAATTAATATCCCCTAACAATAAATATTAAGGTGATAATCTGAACCTAAGTTATTTAGTAGCCTAAGAATACGTCTAAAGAATAAAAAACTTTGGTAGTGCCCCCTACTCAAGATAAAAATTAAGTTTTGAGGTAAGAAAAGACTTCATCATGAATGACCAAAGCAGGATGAGAAGACTTCTGGCTAAATTAGTATCATGTGACTCAAGAGGACAGGTATAGGGGTATCTATATAATTATTTTCCTTTTTTTTTTAAAGGTTTATTTATTTTAGAGGGAGGAGTGAGCACACGCACACAAGCAGGGGGAGGGGCAGAGGGGGAGAGAGAGACAGAATCCTCAAGCAGACTCCCCATTGAGCAAAGGACCCCCCCGCCCCGCCCACCACGTGGGGCTCAATCCCAGGACCCTGAGATCATAACCTGAGCCGACATCAAGAGTTGGACGCTCAACCAACTGAGCCACCCAGGCGCCCCCCCTTCCAATTTTTTTAAGAGTTGGCAGACAAAAAAAAAAAAAAAAAGGGTTAAGAAACAAGTTACCCTATGGAAATAAGCCCCTTTTAAAAACTCATAAAATAAGAAGATATGACCCTAATTTCTACAGCTTGAAATCAGTGCTCTGCCACACTGGGAATGTTACGAAGAGGTCTATGCTCCAAACATTAAAACCTCAGCCTTAAATTATTTCAAGGTGGGATCTTTTGTAGGGCATGACGGTGGATCATTTAACCCTGGGCCTCAAATTTAAACTGTGGACATTCTCTTAAATGAGATTATAGATTCAGCAAGAGATACACTGAAAGCGTTGAAAGAACACATTCACATGTAGCTTTAAATTTGTGTCCAATTTCCAGACCCTACACAGACTGCAGAATACCATGAATTAATATTTTTAAATAAACCCTATAACTAGCTTGTGAATAAGATGATTAAACTTTTTGTGTGTGCATGGGGGCACCAGGGTGGCTCAGTCCGGTAAGCGTCTGACTTCAGCTCTGCTCATGATCTCAGGGTCCTGGGATGGAGCCCCATGTGGGGGGGGTGGGGGGAGGTCCCCAGGGTCTCCGCTCAGTGAGGAGTCTGCCTGTCCTTCTCCCTCTGCCCCTCCCCCTGCTCATGCCTCTCGGACTCCTTCTCTCTCTCTCAAATAAACAAAATCTTAAAAAAAAAAAAAAACTTTGGGTGTGCATTAAAGGCATTAATTTGTTGAATGCAAACCCTTAAAATCCATAATCTCTGTAATTCTACTGTAGAATTTTACTTTTTATATACCAACAACCTAAAGGCCTTTTCAAGACTTCCAGCCTATAACAAGCAGAGCACTCCAGATGTGGCCTTGAGCCTGAGGAATCCCTGCCTGGTGGTTTGGGTGAGCAGTTGCAATTCCTCTATTTAGAGCTCACGGTAGTACAAGGAACCATTTTTCACATTTTCCACTTCTATGATTTCTTTTCATATTTTAACATCTCTGAAGTGAGGATGCCTCTTGTAATTAATGGCATCTTACACTGCTTCCAGTCAAGTAGCAATTGGGACACAACTGTCATTGCCTGCTCATGAGCAAATTATCAGACATCAAAATTGGCCAAACAGCTATCAGCACTCTGGAAGAAAATCCTAGAGACTACACCTGAACTCCGAGAACCAATATTTAAGGGACGGTGAATCCTATATGTTTAGCAATGTTCCCCCATCTGGGAGCCAAACACAGGCCGGTTCTACATAACCACTAAGCCAGGTAAAAACTCAGCACCAAGGCCTTTCCTCCTTTTTTAAAGAATGCCAAATCCTCAAAGCTCTTGACGGCTCAAGGAAAACAGTATGTGGAAAAACACAGAAACCAACACCGAGTTGAAAAGAGTGTAAGCCTCTGTAGGTAAAGAAGTTTTAACAAACTTATTTCACTTATATTGTCCTTTTTAAGTGTGTGTAAGAGTTCTTTGATAAAAATCAATGTTTAATTAGTCTACAAGCTCTTTCAATAAGAATAAAAAATAAATTCTACTGTATCAGTGCTCTCTTGGTCCTTTTTGGTGGGTTAGAATATGAAACAGGAAGTCTTAAAGGTGACAGTAATTTAGAATCACCAAAATACAGTATTCATTTACTGCTGGTGCAGATAATGTCATACACACAGTGAGCCCTGTCATCACAAAGCCCACCGAGCCTTCTGGCGCCTCACAGTGTCATTCCTCAGCCTTCCTCTGTGTTTCTCTCTTTTTCACTCCTTTCCTGAAGGATGGGATGCTGGTTTCTGCCCCATCGTGGGACTCTGATGTGTATACTGTTCGCCCTCTGCCCCTCTGATGCCGGTCACTCAGGCTTACAGCTCTCCTGGTTACTTTCATTGTAATCTCTCCTTTTCCCCAAACTACTTTCTCACCACCTGACCAAAAGACAGAAGTGAGATATGTACATGGATGTACACAAGCTCGACAGTTTTATTTCGTTGTTCTGAAGCAAAGAAAATATTTACATTTCTTGCTCAAAGAAAATTACTACAAAATTAAAATACTCAAAATTATGGTACAAATGAATTAGCAGGAAGGCATAATAGGATGGAGAATCAAAACCAGGTGTAAGAACAGCAGAAGTGGTTGTCTGCAGACCTACTATATTTAGAACAGTAGGCACAAAATCATCTCATTTAAATTTACAACACATTAACTGGACATTTTTAATTCTACTCTTAACTTTCCTATGATCACATAAGGCAATGAATGAGAGACCCAATTTAAAAGCAGGTGTAATTTAAAGCTCAGGCTTTCTTTAGTATATCAGAAATTGGAAAACACGAAATTCATAATGAAATGGCACACTTAACTACAATTGTATAATGCAAACACTCACACACAATGTGTCTTTAAATTACCTGGCTTGGGGGCACCTGGGTGGCTGTCGGTTAAGCGTCTGCCTTCGGTTCAGGTCATGATCCCAGGGTCCTGGGATCGAGCCCCACATCGGGCTCCCTGCTCGGCAGGAAGTCTGCTTCTCCCTCTCCCGCTCCCCCCTGCTTGTGTTCCCTCTCTTGCTGTCTCTCTCTCTGTCAAATAAATAAATAAAATCTTTAAAAAAAAAAAAAAAAATTACCTGGCTTGGGGACGTATCTGTGGAGGAGGCCGGTACAAACGTCTTCTCTAAAGTCTCAGGCAAAGAGTGATACATGTCCTTCTCTTCCAGCTTCCAGTAAGTCAGTCCTATCGCACACAAATACACAGAAGAGAAGACTGAGGAAAGAGAATAAAAATGCTTTCTAGGAAAAGTTATTTCTACTTAAAAAAAATTAAATATGGGAAGTAACTAGTTTTAGGTCTATATGGGAAGTTGAATTTTGATGGCATAGATGCTCTTAATTGCCTTACTATGTAAGAGTTCTAATTTAATGATCCAAATATTTAAAACTGAAATATATTATTAAAAGGCAAGATATGGGGCGCCTGGCTGGCTCAGGCGATAGAGCATGTGACTTTTGATCTCAGGGTTGTGAGTTCAACCCCATGTTGGGTGTAGAGATTATTAAAAAAAAAATAAACTTAAAAAAAGTCAAGATAAACTAGTGCAATCTAAAATATATCTCTTAAAAGACAACAATTTCTTTATGAGCAGTACAGAAAAAACAACATAAAGAATTCAATGGTTCAAATACATATTGAGTGTTTACTGTGCCAGGCTGGGGAGCAGGGAATGTGAGATGTGAACAGTAAATAAATCACAAGGTATACCCAGTAGGTTAGAAGGCAGTAAGCACCCTAATGGTTAAGATTTAAAAATCCAGTAAAACGGAATATGTAGTGTGTGTGGAGGGGTGCTCAAGATTGGCTCACTGCAAGGTAACAAGATAGAGTAAAAGCATTTTAGCCATGTATGAGGGAGGTCCCCTATATAAGAGGTGGGGAGAACATTTCAAATATAGGAAGCAGCAAAGCAAAAGCTCTAAAAGGAGAACGTATCGGGGCACCTGGGTGGCTCAGTCGTTAAGCGTCTGCCTTCGGCTCAGATCATGGTCCCGGGGTCCTGGGATCGAGCCCCGCATCGGGCTCTCCGCTCCGCAGGAAGCCTACTTCTCCCTCTCCCACTCCCCCTGCTTGTGTTCCCTCTCTGCCTGTCTCTCTCTCTGTCAAATAAATAAAATCTTAAAAAAAAAAAACATATCTGGCACATTTAAGCAAACAGCCTCTCTGCTGAAGCAGAGAAAGGGAATAGCAGAAAATGAGGTCAGGGGCACCTAGGTGGCTCAGTCGTTGGGCGTCTGCCTTCGGCTCGGATCATGATCTCAGGGTCCTGGGATCGAGCCCCGCATTGGGCTCCCTGCTCGGCGGGAAGCCTGCTTCTCCCTCTCCCACTGCTTGTGTTCCTTCTCTCGCTGTGCCTCTCTCTATCAAATAAATAAATAAATAAAATCTTGGAAAAAAAAGAAAATGAGGTCAAACAGAGCAAGGCTAGATCTTGCTGGGCCTGTGGGTGCCTATAAAGACTCTGGCTCCTCTTCTGAGGGAAAGAGCACAGCAGGGTTTTGAGCAAAGAAGTCACATGATCTGACCTAGCTTTAACAAGAATCCTAGAGGCTACTGTGTTGAGAACAGATGAAAGGGTGCCAGGATGAGGGCAGGGAGGCTGGGCAGGAAGCTGCAGAACCCCAGGTGACAGGTGATGGGAGCTCTCTGAGGGTGAGAGCATGACGGTGGTTCAGTTCTGGCAATTTTCAGCCTGCAATGCTAATTCATCCTGACAAACTGGATGTGGGATTGTGGGGGAGAAAAATCAGTACGTGACATCATTGAAACTAAAATAAGCTTACCATGGAGAGTAAAGAATGGTTCACAAAAAGGGTTTGAATTTCTTAATTCATTCTGGAGCACCTGGAAAATGCTGAGATGACTTTGCAACTGTTTGAAATAACTGTAAAAGTATTTTTTCCATCTATCTTTACAGAATGTGTAACAAATTAATGCAAGTAAAGAAGTCAGACTTAGCAGAGGCACAACACAACATATAACAGATTTACAGAAACCCCTCTATTACACTATATAGAATCATCCTATTAGAAATGCAGATAAGTTGTTATAAAAAAATAAGTATCATACCTGTTCCTGAATCAGACATCCAAGAATTTGGACTCTCATCTGGTTTATTGAGGTAAAAAGCATGAGGCTGCTTAGCAGCAGTGAAATTAGACTACAAGGCAAGAGAGAAAACTATTAGTTGACAGCTGAAAATCATTAGGCACAAACTGCTGACCCAAGGAATGAGAGCCAGGTGTCAAACCCCGGTGTAGAGAAAGTCTCAGACGGTTCATGAAGAAGTAAGAAAGCCTGTTTTTCCCCGTGATTACAAGAATGCAAAATGATAGGAATTAACCGTGAAGGGTTTTCTTTTCCTGTGTGTTTACAAAAGTTTATTTTGGTTCTGTAGAACCGGAAGAACAACACTGGCACCTGGAGCTACTTAATGAGTTCAGAATGACAATGTATTTATAATTTGCCAGCTACATCCAAAAGAAATTCAAAGTGCCTGGAATTAAAGTCATTTAGTGTAAAAATTAATGTGAAAGCCCTAACAATTCATTTTTATCATTAAAAGTACAATAATTCGGGGGCGCCTGGGTGGCTCAGTTGGTTGGGCGACTGCCTTCGGCTCAGGTCATGATCCTGGAGTCCCGGCATCGAGTCCCGCATCGGGCTCCCTGCTCGGCGGGGAGTCTGCTTCTCCCTCTGACTCTCCCCCCTCTCATGCTCTCTCTATCTCATTGTCTCTCTCAAATAAATAAATTAAAAAAAAAAAATCTTTAAAAAAAAGTACAATAATTCGGGGGCGCCTGGGTGGCTCAGTCGTTAAGCGTCTGCCTTCAGCTCAGGTCATGATCCCGGGGTCCTGGGATCGAGCCCTGCATCAGGCTCCCTGCTCAGCAGGAAGCCTGCTCCTTCCTCTCCCACTCCCCCTGCTTGTGTTTCCTCTCTCGTTGTGTCTCTCTGTCAAATAAATAAAATCTTTAAGAAAAAAAAAGTACAATAATTCAAACTCTGAAAATGGCATTCAGTAATCTATATGAACTTCAAGTAGTAAACTATGTCTTACAGATAGGCAACTGGTTACTAATCCCAGAAAAGGCTCGAAATGCTTATCATCAATTCTAATAAAAATTCTGAGCTAACTACTCCTCACAGTATCTCTGGCATTGTCACAAGAAATCTTTGTTTGCAAACAAATATTTTTATCAGAATTTTTCTTATCAGTTCCACCACCATCAAACTTTTAATTCCTGTTAAAAAGTATTTAAGTTGCATTTGCTTACAATCATCTGTGGACCCACAGCAAAAGTAAAAGGATACTGAGGTGACAGCACTCTACCTACCATGGAGGGGTTTTCATCTCAGCCTCCTAAGGCACCACTCACAGTCCCTCGTTCATCAAATGAGAACTGCCTAGGTCATCTTTTGTCTCCTCTAAAATTCCTACCTTGACAGAAATTCAAATTTCTGTCAAGTCTCAGTACTGAACAGGCCAGAAAAAGCTGACAGCAGAAGGCTAAGTGAAAAATACCGAGGAACATATTTTGTCCTCCTCCCAGTCCGGCGGTGCCCGCCTTAATGCACTCAGCCGACCCCGTGGTGGGCGGGGGCTCCCCTGCCCGGCTGCTGCTGCATTGCTGAGCACACCAGGCCTCGCTTTTAATGAGAAAGAAGAGGAGGGAGCAATGAGAAGTCCTTCCCAAGAAGCTGTCCCACACCTGGCACAGGGACCTTCACTGATGTCAGCAACAGTCTAGTCACCCATCCAAGAAACCACTCCCGAGTCCTGCTTCCCGGGAAACGGTAGCGTCCGGTCTGTCCCCGACAGGACCGAGGAAAATCCTCCTGCTCGACAAGAGCCACTTCAAGACGTGCTTCGGTGCCCCGAAGAAGCCACCGCTGGAGAAAGAGAAAGCTGGACCCCCAGAGAATTCTGGCCGCAAGGGCTCCCTGACTTAGTCTGAAACTGGAAACAGCAGGAAAAGAGGAAGGACGAAACAAAGAGTTCCAACTTGCTGAATCCACAGAATTTGACTCAGGATTATGCAGGTAAGAAATGCGTTTCAGTGTGGGGCCTTGGGTTCATCAACTACCATTATCTGAAAATCATTTAAAACTCAAATATCAGAGAAACTTTATTTCCCATGATGATTTACGACCAAAAACATCACTCACCTTTAAAAAAAAAAGGAAAGGGGCACCTGGGTGGCACAGTCGGTTGAGCATCCTACTCTTGGTTTTGACTGAGGTCATGATCTCAGGGTCCTGGGATCAAGCCCCACATCAGGCTCCGAGCTCAGAGCAGATTCTGCTTGAGAATCTCTCCCTCTTCCTCTGCCCCTCCCCCGGTGCTCGAGCGCCTGTGCATGCTCTTGCTCTTTCTGGCTCTCTAAAATAATAAATGGAGGGGCGCCTGGGTGACTCAGCGGGGAGTTTGCTTCTTCCCCTCCCCCTGCTCTCTCTCTCAAATAAATAAAATCTTAAAAAAAAAAAAGAAAGGACATTTTCTTTTTCTGCCAACCTAATCCAAAGAAAAAAGCAACTTTCACCCCCATCTCCAAATACTATCATGTTCTCACACCAAACAAGGATATAGCATCCTGATGGCACATGGGTTCAAAAGAACAGTACTGGGTGCCTGGGTGGCTCAGATGGTTGGGTGACTGCCTTCGGCTCAGGTCATGATCCTGGAGTCCCGGGATCGAGTCCCGTATCGGACACCCTGCTCAGTGGGGAGTCTGCTTCTCCCTCTGACCCTACCCCCTCTCATGCACTCTCTCTCACCCTCTCTCAAATAAATTAAAAAAAAAAAACTTTAAAAAAAACCCCAAAGAACACTATTATAAATGCAATACTACAGGGCGCTTGCAGATCTTGGAGGCTTGGCGGCCCCCCTAGCTTTCTGCACCCTCACTTCCCTTCTGAACACAAATCGGAATACGTTCAAGAACAGTAATATGAAAAAGCCTAAGTATCACAGGCTGAAAAAATGAAAATTTACTGGAAGAAAAAAGAGTGCCTTAGGAAGGCTGAGGGATTGTGTTCTTATGACTTCTATTTAATTTTTTTCACAGGATGATGGAAAGACCATGTTTACGATGATCAAGAAGTGGCCAATTTCTAAAGATACCAAGTTTGCAGAGACCGGATTTTGCAATTTCAATGGACTATGCTAAACAATGTTACTCTACAATAATTTAAGCCAAAAGGGCTTCAAAGATGTTTAAAATTTACTGAATATCTGCAACTCTAACAAAAACAGCTGCTAGATTAGCAAAAGGGCCACACAGAATTTAAACATGTAATCTCTCACAATTTGGATTATAAATTCAGAGTTGTCTTGAAGCATTCACACATACAGTACTACTTCTTACAACTTAATAGTAATACAAATCATTTGAGGGCTTAAAAAAAAGTTAAATGGATTACTCTCTGGCTAAATGTAAACAGTTGCAGTACAAAGAGAATTAGGACCTTTACAACATGGTTTTCACTTTTATAGTACTTTATCCCTCATTAGTTTTGACTTCCAGACTACTAAAGAACCAATACTTAGAGCAAATCATTGTTTCCAATCCTCTGAGACTCGTAAAGGCTGACAGGTCAATGGAACAAATTAATACCACAAAGAAAGGGCAAAAAACTTATGTTGATGAGCATGCAGTAAACTCCACATAATTATCAGTAGCTGGGGCTCCTGGGTGGCTAGGTCATTAAGCGTCGGCCTTCGGCTCAGGTCATGATCCCAGGGTCCTGGGATCGAGCCCCACGTCAGGCTCCCTGCTCAGCGGGAAGCCTGCTTCTCCCTCTCCCACTCCCCCTGCTTGTGTTCCCTCTCTTGCTGTCTCTCTCACTATCAAAATAAATAAATAAAATCTTAAAAAAAAAATTATCAGTAGCTGAGGCATGCCAGAGTAAAGTGACTTATCACCTACTTTCTCAACTGGTGACTTCTTGGCTTGCTCATTTCCTTGCATAGATTCTGAACACTCGTCTTCTGTAAGTGCTCTCTTTGGTTGGTTCTGCTTCAGCTTTTGTGCCCATGATGTTATAGATTTACTATGCAAAAAGAGAAAACCAAAATTATTCTTTTTAGATGCTGTCCTTCACACATAAAACTAAACACTAGTGAATACTAGTCAGTGGAAAATGCTTTGAGTTGTTTTTCTAATAGCAGAGAAAAGACGTATTTTTATTGATTCACCTAAATTTCTTTTTACAGTTTTTCATTACCAAAGGTAAAGTGAACCAAAAAACTAACGGTGATTAGTAATACATATAGCTGTAGCCACAGAGTAGAACAAAACTGATCATAGTGGCCCATTCAAGTACTCAATATATCTCCACAGCAAAAGCTTCTTTATTTACGAGGACTAGTAATTATACTTATAGATACACAAGATCTGTGTTGCTATAGCTGAACACTTATTTTAGAGGATACATTTTAGAGATATAAAACTGAACATTTGGGATAAATGACATAATTTTAAATGATTATTTGCTTTACAAACATCCAGCCACAGTTGTCATTAAACTTACAAAAGTTCCTCTTATACACAAAAAGCATTAAATTGAATATACTCGTGTATGATGTTTGGTTTCAAATTATATGCACGTATGTGACAAAACTCTACTGTTGATACAGTCCTATACTCGAATTTTCAGCAAGTTTATAGTGACTGGAAAATATAAAAGGTATTTTTCTGGCAAGGCCTCCCACCTTAGGAGGTTACAGTAGTCTTACAACATTGCAAATGGGAAGAAAGTCACATGTTGGTAATATATCACATGCTTTATTTCCATTTGCCACAAGCAATAAATACAAGACTTTGGTAAAGCTGCTAAGTGTTCAAATACGTCTCATTTTATCATACTCAAAAAGGAGCTTGCTTTACTAGATTCTAAATGTAATAAACAAGCAAACCTCCCTTCAAATTATGGGAGAAATTCTACTTACCTGTTTGTTTTTCCACTGTATACTTCTGAAATCTTATTTTCGCCAAGAAAATGGTGTTCAAATTCACCAGGAAAAATGGAAATATCTTCCTTTACAGATGCGCAAAACTCTTCAGTGGTATGTATATGAAAACTCTTGTTTTTTACACCATCTACAAGTGACTCCGTCTGCCCCAAAGGCGCTCCAAACTGTCCTTCAGAAACTTCTGTGTGCTCCATGAACTCCTGAGGGTCCTTAGATTTGTAGGCATTTAATTCAGAGACACAAAAGGTACCATACCCACTGCTCACTGAGCTACTATCCACATTGCAGTCTGGTTGTGACGTGGACGTTTCTTGCTGCATTTCGGGTTCTGTAGACTTAGGATAACTGATAATAGGTTCATTTCTCTCACTGTTTTCAGAAAAAAAACCCATTTGACTTTCTGAAGATAACTGTTTGCTTAAAGAACTATCGGAGGAAGCCCAGGAAGTATTACTGGTCTGTAACTTGACTAAATTTTTTATCTCCTCCTGTATTCGCTGAAAATAAAGTTATAGATCTGGGTAAGAAAGTATACTAAACATTACACTTTCATAAATACTATGAAAATATTGCTTAAAAATATGAGCTACTACTCTAAAGAGAATCTGTTTTTAGTTCAAAAACCAAACTGATACGAAGTATTAACTGCTTCCTCTTGCAAATCTTATAATATAAAGAAAAGAATCAAGATAACTAACAACTTACTTGAATTTGGTTGTGGAACTGTTCCTGCTGGGCAACTATCTGTTGTTGGCATTGTTTTTCCACCAAATTGAATAGTTGTAACCACCTGGTCTATTAAATTATAAAATATTTTAGTTAAAAATAATTTCTCATGTAATAGTCACAGAAAAATTCCTCCCGTGGGAAAGGACCTTTTTAAAATATAGTTTTAATGTGAAGTGAATACGCTGAATTAAATAGCTACAAAGCTGTATTTAATGCAAAAATACAAAGGCACAGGCGTGGTCACCCCTTTTTCTCATGTAACCTGCAGTCTGGGTCAATTTGAAGGTCTGGGTAAATCTCGTTTTTCAAATGACATCTTAATTTGATGTCCTCTGCTATCATCAAGAATTGGCAGTTTATATTTGTCTTCAATTTTGCTTCCTTTCCTTGTAACAGCTAATGATTTTCTTAAACAATTCTTAGAAAAAAGAATCCCACGCCTTTAAACAAGAAATAATTTGGTATTGTGGGATTTAAACCCCTAATTTACTTGTTATTTAAGTTAAAAAAAAAAAAAGAACCTTTTTCAAATTAGATACTGAAGTGTTTGACAGCGCACTACAGCTGAGAGAGGAATGAAAACCCGTGGAACTGGCTTAGCCCTCCCTTCAGTCACTTTTAGGTCCTGATCCATCCTGACTCTCAAGAGGAGTCAGTACTTTTTTTTTTTAAGGCCATCAGCAGACAAAGGAGTCAGTACTCTTATAACCAGACTACAAAACATGGCAGGAAAGGGGGCAGGGAGATGTCCAGAGGCTAAATTCAGTCTTAAGGCTGGTGTCCTTTCAGTAACAGACTCTATGCAATAATACACAATAAGCAGCTACCACGAAAAAGAGCTTCCCTTATAAACCATGCAATTATCTTTCCACTCCTGTATTCCTTACAGCGCCCTGAGTGATCCGGCCCATGCACACCTCCCAACCTCATCTCATCCGTCTCTGCCCCTCACTCAGTGCACACCAGCCTCACTGGCCTCTACCTTTTCCCTGAGCATGCCAAAACTGTTTTCCACCTCAAAAGCTTTGTCCTCACTGTACCCTCTACCTGGAAAGTTCTCTCTCCAACTCTTATCATGGCTTCTGTCCCTTCTTGCAATTTCAGCTTAACTTCTCAAAGTTTCCCAAACCATCCCACAGTTGCTCTCTAAACGTCATCCTGTGTATTGACTTCATAGCCTTTACCACAATCAGAGAGCATCTCGTTTGTTCACTTTGTTAACCTGTCTCCAGCACCTGGGACACAGTGCCAAGAAAAGAGTGGGCACTCATATATAGTCTAAGTGGGTGTATAAAACTGTGAACTTCAGGGGCGCCTGGCTGGCTCAGTCAGTGGAACATGCAACTCTTGATCTTGGGGTCGTGAGCTTGAGCCCCATGTTGGGGGTAGAGTTTACTTAAAAAAAAAAAAGTGAATTTCAAGCTGATTTTTTTTCTTGGTGTTAGACTACACAATCCAGAGGCCCTTCAGATTAAAGCCAATTCAATAACCATAACAGAGCAGAATTAAACTGAAAGCTACATAACAGTATTAAAGCAAAGGAAGTAAAAACTCTCAGGATTGGAAAAGGAAACCTTCAAATTGAAACAGAACAGTACTGATAGGAAGTATTGATTCTAAATCAACTAACTTCAGGATAAGGTAGGCTACAACAAATTCAGTTCCTTATCTTGTCAACTTATCTATAATATGAAGTATCTTAATCAAAACAAAAAAGAAATCAGGCATCAGTTTTCTTATTAAGTCATACTAACTTAAATACTTTAGAAGTTATTTTAACCTGATGAAGTTATTAGTCACACAGAACTAAATTACAACAATGATAGAATAACATACATAACAACAACAAAAAACCAAAAATGGGTTCATTATTATGTGACACACTTAATGTTAATCATATCCTTATTATCATTTTCTTATTTAAGATATGAATGAACAGAGCTTACTCAGGATATAAATTGGTGGAGATTTTGTTATGCCTAGTCGGATTTTATATTTTAATTTTCAATAAACATATTTAGGAACATTATAATGCAGCAAATATTATTCACATAATTATTAAGAACTATAATTTATTTCTAACTAAAATTATTTATATGACCTGCATTTTACATACTTTTGGAGGACTTGGGCATCTAATTAAAGCTTTCCCCTGCACACAGCTTTTGATGCTATTAGCTTGAAAGGGGTTTCTATAGTCTGACCTCGTAAATATCCCACTGGCTTTGACATCCTAGGCCTGATTCCCAGCTCTCCACTAACAACCTGTGTGGTGGTCCTCAACAAGTAAATTTCATTTGTGCTTCTTATGCATTTATAAAATGGGAAGAGCAACACCTCGTAGGTGGCTGGGAGGATTAAATTTTAAATTCAAATATGATGCATATGAAGCAGTAATCCCAATGGGGGGAACTACATTTTGAAAAACTGTGAGGTCATGGCTGTCACAAAGATAGCAAGGGCACTACCAGCACTCAGTGGGTCCAGGGAAACAAATCAAAGGATGGTCCCCAACAACGAAAAACTGTCCTGGGTCCATTTTATATTATTATAAAAATACCATATATTTTGCACAGCTTTCAAATCATCAAATGGTCCAGGAATCCAACTACAAAGATGTTAAGTTTGTTTCAGAACTCGGTCAGAAATTGGTCACCATTTCAGAAAATCATGTCACCAAACGCAGTGCTAGATCATCAGGACAACACAATTGTATCAGTCCATGTCTATAGCTGCTGCCTTCACAGGGAGTCTACATATCAACACCAGGCTTTTCTTCTAACGTGGATGCACCTGAGCAAATACCTGTTTTTGTATTATAAGTAACTTTTATTCCTCCTCTTTATCACAGTTAAGAGGATGATTGTTTTTACGGTAGGTACAGGCAGGATGTATCTGTGAATTTCATTTAAGTTGATGTTACTTTAAAAATTGTAAAATATAACTGTAAAATGTAAATTAGTAAATTAATTGTAAAATTATAAAATGAGGGCTTTAGGTCTAATAAGGTTGAGTGCCACTGACAAAAAGTATCTAGTATACTGCTTGGCAAACAGACACTCAATAAGTGGTACACTTACAATAACTATTATCACATAACCATTACTCTTACATAATCAGTAGCGCTAAATAGTTAAAATGCAAAAATAATGAATTAAGACAAATAAGCTAATCATGTGCTTTAAAAATTCACCATCCAGAAATATTAGCAACAGCAAGCATTTAAGAATGTATTAAAGTATTTCTATGTAAATGTGTTAAACTTTATTTTCCATGAATCAAAATACATAACCTTCTCAAGTTTAAGCAATGATAAACTTCAGAATTCCAGGAAAGAGGTTTTAGAAAGAAAGAAATCAGATCTCCAGAGCTCTGAGCTCCACGAAAGGTTTTACGTTTTGCTTTAATAACATAGATTAATCCCTTACAAATGGAAGAAATCAGACAAATGTTAGTATTCCAAAGAGAGATGAAAACATGAAATTCAGGGAAAAGAGTCAGGAATAAGACTTGCACAATCCATACCCCTCCCATTCTTCTTAAAATGCTACACAGTAAAACAGAGGATTTTGTTTTTGTATGCTACAAAACACACTAATAAATTGGAGAGATTTTACTGAAATGACCAGAAGGATATTTCATATTCTGTCAAAGTAAGAAATATCTTAAACTATTCACTGAACAATTACATGTCTACATTACAAAAATTAAGTAGCCAATTAATATTAAACATAATGTTGTATCACAGATGAAGGAGAAAGGGTGTAAAGAAACTGGCTCAAATGTCAAGGTGTAAGTAGCTGGTTGGTATGCTAGCTTATAAAAATCTGTATCTTGGGCGCCTGGGTGGCTCAGTTGGTTAAGCGACTGCCTTCGGCTCAGGTCATGATCCTGGAGTCCCGGGATCAAGTCCCACATCGGGCTCCCTGCTCGGCAGGGAGTCTGCTTCTCCCTCTGACCCTCCTCCTGCTCATGCTCTCTGTCTCTCATTCTCAAATAAATAAATAAAATCTTTAAAAAAATAAATAAATAAAATAAATAAATAAATAAAAATCTGTATCTTAAATTCACAAATATATTCTGATTCTAAGATGCTGATTTCAAGTATTAAAAGTAACAATTTCTAGTTAAACATGAATTTGCCAGGAGAGCAATACCTTATTTTTTTTTAAAAGCATGCTAATTCAGGTACATAAGCTAATGGATAAGTATATTAAAGTAAACATTTCACAAAACATTCCATTTTTAATTGTCTCGTTTTACAGGTCTCTTGCATTAGCATATACTGATCATTATATGAAAAAATATAAAAATTGTAAAAATGTAAAACTCAATTTTCTTGGGTACCTGGGTGGCTTAGTTGGTTAAGCATCTGGCTTTGGCTCAGGTCATGATCCCGGGGTCCTGGGATCGAATCCCATGTCAGGGCTCCCTGCTCAGTGGGGAGCCCGCTTCTCCCTCTCCCTCTGCCCCTCCCCCTGCTCGTGCTCTTTCTCTCTCAAATGAATAAATAAAATCTTAAAAATAAATAAAAATAAATACTCAATTTTCTTTCTTTTTTTTTTTTTTTTAAGATTTTATTTATTTATTCATGAGAGAGAGAGAGAGAGGCAGAGCGAGAAGCAGGCTCCCAAGGAGCAGGGAGCCCGATGCGGGACTCGATCCCAGGACCCTGAGATCATGACCTGAGCCAAAGGCAGACGCTTAACCATCGGAGCCACCCAGGCGCCCAAAACTCAATTTTCTTAAAGTCTGCAATAACAGTCATTTTTATAACTTCAATGATTATGGATAATGAATACAAAAAATTACTTAGGGGCGGCTGCTACTGAATCCTTAAAGCAGGTATTCTTTCATTCCACTTATACATTTTGAAAATAACACAAATAATGGTTTTAAAAGTATGATAAATATTTTTCAAAATTTAAGAAAAAATACATTTAATAAAATTTACTGTTCCCTAAAGAATTTAATAATAATAATGTTTTATACATTTTTATAAGGTACTACCAAATCTAGCCTTGGAAAAATCTAACTTGGGCATTATTCTGTGAAACAAAATTTACATATATGTATTCTTTTAACTGCTAAATTCTGTATCACAGTTTAACCTATGGACCAGAGAAACACAATTCTGAAAAATCAATATAATTCAATGTATCACAACTAAATGTGATAAGGCATTACAAACAGAAGTCTTAATTTATGAGTAGAGCGTTCAAAATATTTCAAAGAGGATTTAGGTTTTTCAAAATGATAATTCTGTTACTTAAAACATTAGAATTAGTAACAATATTAATAATTTTGGAACTCTCACTTCTCTGAACAAAGCTAGTATTTTAGTTGACATTTAAAATGTAAATTAGTGTCCAATCCCTAATATTTGTTCAAACATACTCTTGATCATCTTTTTCATATTTGTTCAATGTTGTTCCCCAATTACTGTATTTGACCACTTTAGCAATAAGAATCATGCTCTTTAGGATATAAATTTCTAATAATTTAGAGTTTAGTAGAGGCACATTTACAAATATATTTTTTAAAATTCCACAAATAAAACAAAACTAGATACCTCACAGTTTTTCCAAAGTTCCGAATCAGTCCTTCCACTGTTTTGTAGCTCTTGCATTAAAGAGGTTAGGACTTCAACTGTACCTTGAATTACAGATGGTCTGGTCTTCCCTGAGAAAGAGGATACCCCATTTGTACTAAGGTGGGGACTACTTCTGTTGAAACATAAATAATTCAAATGGTTTTCTTCATTCTACCAAAGTGTTGAATAATTCAGCAGTTCAAGTTTAGCAGAGCAGTACAAAACCACTGATATTTAATCCTTCTTAATGGCACCTCGTTTGTTGAAAATCTGATCACGTTTGTCCACAAAAGGAAAATAGCAGTAAAAAGACAGCCCTTATTTTTTTAAAGAACCCAACAGAAAGACCTTCTCCAGAAGCTGGAGCACGCTCCAAAGCACCAGCAGAAAATAAAAGTTTCTGCTATACGATAAGAAAAAGGTCCAGCTTCTCCAATCTAAATCATTCCAGAGGATTATTTTGCTCCACTGTCCTTTTTTTGTAGTGGGGTTTCTTTCTCCACTGTCCTTTTTTTGTAGTGGGGTTTCTTTCTCCACTGCCCAGAGTTGCAGTCAAGTCTTGTTAATTGGATCCCCCTAATTTGGTGTGATAAGCTGATGCTTATCTTTACACTATCTTTGAATAAAAGTTGTGCCAAGCAAATTAGCAGCAAATATTCAGGACTTATTTAGACTATTCATTGTGTAAAATAGCACTGATTCTTTCCAGGAGGACTGCTTTCCCAAACTTGAGAGGAAGTTATTTCAGATTTGCTTTATAAAAACACAAAGCATAATTAAGGACAATAAACTCTGTTCAAATTCCAGTCTAAGAGGTCATTTTCATTTATTTATTGATACCCTACATTGTTTCACAAAGAGTTCATTAAAAAAAAAACAACACTGATGAAAGTAACAGAAAAACAGTAACAAGTAGAATCAGAGAAAGATTAATAAAAACTCAAGGGAAAGAAGAACATACATGTTGTCCATAAGGGGTTACACATTTGTGTAATAAGTCTAAATCTGACTGATTTCACTGCCAGTCACAATGAAAAGGGAGACAAGTTCAGTTACATAATCTTCATTAGAAGGGCACATTTAGGGGGTGCAAGGCTGGCTCAGTCAGTGGAGCATGTGACTCTTGATCTTGGGGTGGTGAGTTCGAGCCCCACGTTGGAGGTAGAGATTGCATTTTAAAAATTTAAATAAATAAATAAATAAATAAATAAATTTTTAAAATAAATCTTAAAAAAATAAAAAGGGAGGGCATATTTAGGTTTCCCCAGGCAAATTATGTTCTAAAAGGGACTTCTTCAAAGGGGCCACCAAGTGATACAGGAAACAAACTTTCAGTGCGTGGGTACAAATTACAAAGGCAGGCACCTCTCCTGGACCATTTCCCACACACATTCCCCCCTTTCACCTTGCTTTCTCATTTTATATGTTCCTGTAAGCTGCCTTAAATTCCTCCTGAGGAGGGCAGAGAATGAACAAACTTCTTAAAGAATTAATGAATTTATTTATTTTACACAATCTCTTCAAGATCTATTATTATACACAATTTTTTCAAGATCTATTGTGTTTAAAGACCTTTGACCCTTTACCAGTAGGACCCAGACTGCTGTATTTTTGCTTCCTTGTACCTGCTTATTATAGCTGGTCTCCTCTCTAATGGGCTTTGCCTCTTTGCTGTTTTTAAGCTACGAGAAATTTAGAAATCAAATAATCACGTTTGTCAGATCATGTACAAAATGAGAGCAAACAGGCTCTGATTAAAAACAAACCAAAGGGGTGCCTGGGTGGCTCAGTCATTAAGCGTCTGCCTTCGGCTCAGGTCATGATGCCAGGATCCTGGGATCGAGCCTCGCATCAGGCTCCCTGCTCAGCGGGAAGCCTGCTTCTCCCTCTCCCACTCCCCCTGCTTGTGTTCCCTCTCTCGCTGTGTCTCTCTCTGTCAAATAAATAAATAAATAATCTTTAAAATATATATACATTAAAAAACAAACAAAAAAATAAATAAATAAATAAAAACACCGGAGAGTTTAAAAAGAAAATGCATAAAATGCATTGTTGGAGAATATCTATTTTTGTCCACTCAGGGTCTGTTTTTTTGCTTACTTCCTAGTATTCAACTTTAATTCCTACTTCCCAGATTGCTGAGGTAGTTCTGAAATATTAAACATTATTTGTACTGTTCATTTAAAAATGTAGAAACAATATTTAGGCAACTAAATTTTAAAGACATGCTTGTAATCTACCAGAAATTTTAAAAAGTGTAAAGAGGGAGTGCCTGGATGGCTCAGTCAGTTAAGCGTCTACTTTCGGCTCAGGTCATGATTGAAGGGTCCTGGGATTGAGTCCTGCCTGCATGGGGTTCCCTGCTCAGCTGGGAGTCGGCTTCTCTCTCTCCCTCTGCCCCTTCCCCCTGCTCATATTTGCTCTCTCTCTCAAATAAAAAAACAAAATCTTTTTTAAAAAATGATGCTTTGGGGAACATGGGTGGCTCAGTCGGTTAAGCGTCTGCCTTCAGCGCAGGTCGTGATCTCAGGGTCCTGGGACAGAGCCCCACATCAGGCTCCCTGGGAGCCTGCTTCTCCCTCTCCCCCTGCTTGCACTCTCTTTCTCTCTCTCTCGAATAAATAATAAAATCTTAAAAAAAAAAAAAAAAGAAAACAAGTTCTTTTTCACAATGTTCCCCATGCAAAAGTACATTATCTGTGGGAGAAATGAAAAACAGGGAAAGGCTGAAACTATTCTTTTTCTTTTTTTTTTAAGATTTTATTCATTTATTCGAGAGAGAGAGAGCATATGCAAGAGAAAGCACAAGTGGGGAGCGGGGAGAAGGAGAAGCAGGCTCCCCACTGAGCAGGGAGCCCGACGCGGGGCTCAATCCCAGGACCCCGGGATCATGACCTGAGCAGAAGGCAGACACTTAACCTACTGAGCCACCCAGGTGCCTCCCCCTTGAAACTATTCTTAACTAGTCCCAGAACAGCTCCTGTTTGAGGGCTGTCATCGTTATTTAAATAGAACAAATAATTATCACACTACTTGGATAAACTACACAAGTAAGCTTATTTTGATTTGTTGTTACATTTAAAAAAAAATCTATCTATCCCATTCTTACCTATTAGTATTTAAGTTCAGTCCAAAAGAATGGGGAGAATTTTTTATATCAGATTCTACAGAAGATGAAGTTTTTCGTAAGGGTTTCACCAAATCAATATCTTCCATAGTGTACAGAAATTGTTATACTCTCTTATTTGAGAATGTAGGTTCTTTCAATGTTTGAAGAAACTGAATCCGAGTCATCTTCAGATGCTTCATCGTCTACAGGCATTTTCAGATGCTAACATTCAGAACTGTGAAATATCCTAAGCTCCCAAGAGAGTCTGAAAATGAATGGAGGAAAAAATACTATAAAAAGCCACTAAACCTAGCAACTGTCTTTTCACTACTTTGGAAACCTTGATCCTTTTAAACAAATCTACATTAAGAACAGCAACATTATTTACAATAGTCAAAATGCAGAAACAACCCAAGTGTCCATCAACTGATGAATAGATAAATGTGAAATATACATATAATGGAATATTTCTCAGCCATAAAAAGGTACAAAATACTGATACATACTACAATGTGGATAAACACTGAATTATTATGTTTAAGTAAAAGCTCAGCAAAAGATCACCTAGTGTATGATTCCATTTATGTGAAAAATGTAGAAGAGCAAATCTCTTGAGACACAAAGTAGATTTATGGTTGCCAGAAGTTGGGGGAAGGAGAAAATGGCAGTGACCAAAAAGGGATATGGAGTGTCTTTTTGGGGTTAATTGTTGAATTACAAAGTGGTGATGGCTGCACAACCCATATGTGAATATACTAAAAACCTATGAATTGTATACCTTAAAAGGATGCATTTTATGTTATGTGAATTTTATCTCAAAAAATCTACAATAAGAGTGATTTGCAAAAGTAGCATCATCTTTTCCAGGTAGTATTTCAGAATTTTATGTGTTTAATTATTAGGATTCTAGACACAATTCTACTATGTAACAATTGGAATACTTAGATGCTTTGTTCATTTGTTTAATAAGTTCTACCAAGGATCCATACTTGTTGATTTATACTTCGAATAGATAAATTGGAACTACTTAGTATTTAATTTGGTATTAAACATATCAAATTAAATGGTTGTTTTCTCCATTAGCTGGAACGTAGGGGTGGAAGAAATGCATTTTGCACTATCATAGGCTTTACTACTCTATGCATATATGACTTGTTTAAAAATAAACTATTTGCCGGGTCAAATAAAAACTAAAAACTAAAAATAACCGCTTAACTGATGCAGGTTAACTGATGCTAGGTGTACAGAGACAAATTGGCTATAACAAATCAAACACCATGCTTCCTTCTTAGGGAATTCATTTTTTTTTTTTTTTTAAGTGAAGAAGCAAGAGAAAAAGAAAAAAAAATCTATGCTGCTTAAAAGATACAAACTTTAGGGAGTGCGAAGAGATCTATTCTGATTCCACTAGGTTCCCACTTCCTAGGCCTGGTTTAGAAAGCACAACCTTAAAAAACAGCAGCTCTTAGAGGAACCATTTCCTTCAGGGGGAAAGGTTTTGTCAAAGCCCAGGGTAACAGGACCTACCTAAATGGATTTCTCCCCAGGGGCTCAGCCCATAGCCAACGACAAATGTGGTATTGAAAAAGTCTGGGGCTGCACCTTCCAAGTGGCAACGAAAATAGCTGGATTCAAATCACCCTGCTCTTCTCCGGGGAAACACAAACTCTCCACGGACGTGGATCTGCAATCCCATCTATTATTTCCCCCCGCCGAGGTAATCCGGATGCAGAACATGCAGATGGAAAAACCACCTGAGAGGCAAAGATGCTTCTCCAGTGGAGGGGTGGGGGGTGAGGGGAGGGAACGAAGGAAGGGGGCAGAAACCCCCGACCTAAATGCAAAATTAAAAACAAACAAACACACACACATACACACACAATATAAAACAAAACTCGATGGACAATGGATATAAGCACAGAGCCATTTTTATATTTCCCGGTAACGAAATGTCACGCTCTTCGTCCCCACGACACCTAGTAAAAAAGAAAAAGGGGGAGGGAAGGTCGCTGGAGGGAAAAAAAAAAAAAAAAAAAAAAGACCAGATCGGGGTCTGCTGATACTGTAAAAGTTAACCCGGCGCTGCGCTTTGCCGGGAGCCCGAGGGCGTAAGGAAGAGAGGACCGCAGAGGTTTTGAGGCCAGATCCCGACATCCTCGCCCTCGCAGCCAGACCTCAATTGCTGGTGGTGGCTCTCGGGTCAGAGGCGAGGGAGAACCACCGAATGCAGCCGCCTAAACTGGAGGCAGCAAAGAGGCGAAAGGAAAAGCCGCCGTTCCAACAACTACAATCGTGATTCCCAAAGTAAAGCAAGGAAGACCGTCAAAAAAAAAAAAAAAGAAGAGAAGAAGGAAAATCCCACAAGCCCCCCGCCCCTGGGGAAGAGGCGCTCTGCGATTGGGCCGCGCGGGTGTCACTCAAGGGCACTGAGGCTAGAAAAGGCACACGGCCACTGGCGAAGCCCCCACACACCGGAGGGATGCGGTGGGGGGGGGGTGCGTCGTCTGGTCGTCGTCCTCCCCGCCCTAAATCCATCAGCACCCCGGGGGTTCTGCTAAGGCCGTGTCTTCCAAGCCTCGTCCCCTTGCCCCCCGCGGCCGACAGCTCCACGCAGGCCGGCGACCGCTTACCTGGCCGCTGCTCCCACAGCCGATGTCAGGGTCGGGCGAGCGGCCTCTCGCGACCGTTAAACTCGAGGGAGCGTGCGCGCGCCCGGCACCTTGCCTGCGATTGGCTGTTTGAAAGGGGGCGGAGACGGCCGAACCGCGTCGCGCGTGTCGGCCGCCCCTTTCCCTTCCCGCCCCTCGCGCAAAAGAGGGAGGTCCGACGCCTGGGAAATGGAAGGGGGCGGGGCTTATGCACGTTCTCTGGTCTGATTGGTTCTCTGGGAGTCGGCAGATGGCACGCGAAAAGAAGCCTCCGGTTACCGCATGCGCAGTTGGTAAGAATGAGCCTGGGGCAAGTGAGGGAAGCGGTGGCGGGAGTACTGCGCGTGCGCAGTCCCAGGAATGCATCTGCGATCTACCTTCTGCGGTGGTTCGGGTTACCCCAGAACGTTGCGGGTGGGAGGCCAGCGTTGAGGCCAGGTAAGCGTCCGTGGAAAATCCGGTCACCCGCGGTTGCCCGCGGATGTCAGGGACTATGGAAAGAGGACTGGGAGCTGGGACGCCTGACTTTCCCAGCTTGCGACCGTGAGTCGCGCAGCCAATTGACCTGAAGCCCCGCAGGCCCAGACCCCGAGCTAAGTTTTCTCTGCACCTGGTTTACCCTAAGGGTAAACCTGCTGGGGGTCGGCCCAGGGGTTCTTCAAGGACTGGGATGGGGAGGGGAGCACAGCCCAGCGGCCTGGAGAAAACAGTTGCACCGAGGCCCAAGAAGAACTGGAACGTCTTCACTTACTTTGTTCTATGGAGCTCTTAGCACGCAGCAGGTGCTGTTTTAGGCCGGCACATAGTAGGTGTCAGCATTGTTTTTGCCAGGCCTTTGGAAGGACCACAGAGAATACGTGTCCCTCCCTGTGGGCCCCAGTCCATTTCATTCTCTCTGTTTAGTTCATTCTTTTTTTTTTTTTTTTTTAAGATTTTATTTATTTATTTGACAGAGAGAGACACAGCGAGAGAGGGAACACAAGCAGGGGGAGTGGGAGAGGGAGAAGCAGGCTTCCCGCCGAGCAGGGAGCCCGATGTGGGACTCGATCCCAGGACGCTGGGATCATGACCTGAGCTGAAGGCAGACGATTAACGACTGAGCCACCCAGGCGCCCTCAGTTCACATTCTTAAGACTAGTCGACCTTTAAAGCCAGCTCTTAGATTGCCCTCCAAGGGTCCTGGGCCCAAAGTAAAGGAATTTCGCTGGCCCTGTCATGTAGATGTGGCTGAGAAGCCAGGACGCACGCGATATATTGGCAGGAATGACAGACCTGCGAGGCATTCCATTTCATCTGAGCCTAACAATCATGTCTCAAACAGTAAAAATTTAGTCTTTATCCAAAACCCCATTTGTGTATGGAAGATCTCAAGCTTAAATAAATTTAATCCACACCCCACCCCATTGTGTGAGTCCCATCAGGCAATAGTATGCTCATGTAATACCTAACCAAAATCAAACTAATTTTAAGCACATGGCTCTGATTTCACTGACCATGTTTCAAGCCCAACAACAAAAAAGTTTTATCACTAATTTCAGTTGGTCACAAAATCTATTATTTGAGACATCCTTTACACTCAGAAGAACTGAGAAGTGTGAATTACTGAGACATCTCCAGGCAGACAGGGTTGGGTTTCCTTACAAGAAAAATAAATAACCCCTAAATCGAGTACTAGTGATTATTTCGCAACCATGTAAAGAGCAGGAGATGTTCACTTTTGGCTGCAAAATCAGATGGGTTCTGTTCAGTTTGAGCACGTAGATTTTTGGTTTTTTGTTTTTAGCTGTGCGGTTTTAGGTAACTTTTTGTCTGTTAACGTCTTAATAAGCCAACGTATTCAGGAGTGCTATTCTGGTTAACCAAGTTATCTTGTTAATGAACTGATGTGGTGAAATATTTTGGTAAGGTTGCTCACACCATATTTCTTAGGTTAAGCTCTTTGGAAGGGTCATAATTGAAAAAAAATCAGTGGAAATTGCCTTTGACTCATTGGACTAAAGAGAAAAAATAATTTTTTTTTAAGATTTTATTTACGTATTTATTTAATTGACAGAGAGACAGTCAGAGAGGGAACACAAGCAGGGGGAGTGGGAGAGGGAGAAGCAGGCCTCCCACCAAGCAGGGAGCCCGATGCGGGGCTCGATTCCAGGACCCTGGGATCATGACCTGAGCCGAAGGCGGACCCTTAACAACTGAGCCACCCAGGCGCCCCCATAGACATTATTTCTGAGTATAGCAAACAGAAGTAGGAGGCTTCAGAAGTTCCAGTAAATGTGTTAAGTACAATCACTATTCATCTAATGGAAACCTACCTTCCATCCTGGAGATTTTGCACTACTTGTGTGCAAACTGACACCACTATTTTATGGCCTTTATGATGTTATGATTACTATGATTTTCTTTATTATAACATCAAATTGCTCAAGTATCTCTTTGACCTTGAAGGCTTCAAACTGACTTTTGAGTGGAGATCTTTCACATTGATGGGGATAAGACCATGCTGGGCGGTGATAATGGCTGATAATGGCTTGCGGCATGGCATTTCGTGTCTCTCAACCCCAGCGTTGCTACTCTTTGATTGTTATGTCCAAACTGTTTATCATTTGGGGGGGCCAGTTCTCCACAGCGGGGGGTAGGGGGGAGAAAAAGAGGAACTCTAAAATTTTAAATGTATAATCATTAAACGTGAAATCATCAGACGTATATTAAAATATAAATTTTGTCCTCTTTCTTGTCCTAAATGATTTTTCTTACTCTATCAGATAATCCCTAAAGATTGCCATGTTTAAACCAGGACTTGCTTGGATGAAGGGGGTGTTTATCTTTCACTGTGAGCCTGCTAGAAAGTCAAACTGTATTCTTGGCATCATAATTATCTCCTTGGCACCTGATTTCATAGAACACAATTATGACCTCACCAAATAGCATGTCTCTGGTAACTTCATGGTTTTCAAGTACTTCTTAAATTGGACCATACCAAATGAAATAATTTGCAGGTCACTCTTCTAGATGCCTTTTCACTCTGCGCTCTAAAACAAGTCTACGAAGGGGCACCTGGCTGGCTCAGTCGGAAGAACATGTGACCCTTGATGTCCAGGTCATAATTTGTCATAATCTCTACATTGGGTGTATAGATTACTTAAATAATTTATTTTTTTTATTTTTTTAAAGATTTTATTTACTGATTTGAGAGAGAGAGAGAGAGAGCAAGCACAAACAGGGGGAACAGCAGAGGGAGAGAGAAGCAGACTCCCCGCCAAGCAGGGAGCCCAGTGTGGGGCCTGATCCCAGGACCCTGGGATTCTGACCTGAGCCGAAGGCAGATGCTTAACCAGTTGAGCCACCCAGGCGCCCCTTATAGGCTTTAAAAAAAAAACAAACAAAACTGGGGCACCAGGATGACTCAGTTGGTTAAGCGTCTGCCTTTGGTTCAGGTCATTATCTCAGAGTCCTGAGATCGAGCCCCACATCGTAAGTCTGCTTCTCCCTCTCTCTCCATGATTTCTCTCATTTTCACTCTCTCTCAAATAAATAAAATCTTTATAAATATATGTCAAAAAAAATAAAAAGCCTATGAAATAATCAGTTTCAGATTAGGTTTATGGGATGAAACCACAGTTTATATGGTGTGTTAGTCAAAGGCTCTTCAGCTTTATAGTTTAGGGATCCCAAGTACCCCTCAGGGCTTTAGGTTTGTGGAGACATGTACGTTTTTTTCTCACCCTAGGCGGTATTACCTGCACTTTACAGATGAGGAGACGTGGCCAGAATTGCACAGTGAGTAAATCATGAAGCCAAGATAGTGACTACAGAGCAGGGTGGCCTTTCAGGGACAAAAAAAAAAAAAAAAAAAATGAGAAGAACATTCCAAAAGAGAAAGTTGAGGAAAATGAGCTAACACTTTTAAGAAGGTGGGGAAAGGACAGATCTAGAGCTATTATGAAAGGTAAAGGTAGAAAGTAAAAGTTTAGTATAAAAAATGGAATACCTAATGTTCTTCCAAGTCTTCCTGAGATAATCCCTTTTCTTTATTTGTGTCAAATATGATAATGTATTTGAAAGTACTTTGAAAGCATTTAGGTCCTAAACAAATACAAGGTATCATTCATGATAATAGAGGCATTGAGAACTTAAGGACATGTAGAGTGTTATTACTGCTGCTTTTTTTATGTGTTTCTGTCTTATTTTAACAGTGTAGTTGGTAAATTCTAAAGTTCCTGTTAGAAGCCATAAATAGAAGAAAATCACAGTGATGCACACAAATAGGACAGGTGTAGTTCTCTGTGGATTCAGAGTTTTCTGTATATATATTTAAAAAAAGCAACACTGAATGGGGTGTTAGTGTTGTATGAATAGAAAGTTTTTCTATCTACTTCATTAGTTGTCTCTTGAACTCTGCAGCAGGGAGCCTATTAAATTGAGACCAGACCCAGAGCAGTCTCCAGCGTGGCATTTCCTGCTCAATCTATGATGTTTGTCTGATTTGAGAAATAATTCTCTGCTAACACTTCCTGTGACTGAAAGGTGCTTTATCTTCAGAACGAACCGCCAAGCCCAGGAAAGGACTTGGTCTGTTTCAGACCTGAGCCGCAGCCCCTGGAGGTTCCGTTCTGGGAGGTGATCCAGCCCTTGAAAGGGCTCCAGACCAACCAGAACGGGAGGGTGAGCTAGACCGAGCAGGCGGGAAATGGCTGCTTTGCCTTAACTCCCATTTTGCAGGGAGCAAGCACCAAAACATGCTATGAAATATGGACTATGGGGCGCCTGGGTGGCTCATTCAGTGAAGCGTCTGCCTTCGGCTCAGGTCATGATCCGGGGTCCTGGGATGGAGCCCCGCATCGGGCTCCCTGCTCAGTGGGGAGCCTGCTTCTCCCTCTCTCTCTGCTGCTCCCCCTGTATGTGCATTCTCTCTCTAATAAATAAATAAAATCTTAAAAAAAAAATGTTTATTTTAAAAAAAAAATTAAAAACATGGATTATACTTAAGCATTTCTCAGAAAATCATTCTCTCACTTAGCTTCTGGTGCCATCAGCTGGCCATTTGGTCTGTTTAAAGGAGCACCATTGCACATCAGCCTGAGTTCAGTGTTTGGTCCTTCACCACCGATTAGGTCATTGTTTTGAGACCTGTCCCTTTATCTCCTATTGTGGAAGGAGAAACAGGACCGTGACCAAGCAGGTAATCAGCACTCCAGAATTCTGGCCTCAACTTCTTAAATAGAAGAAACAACAGCTTTTAAAAGTGTCCCGGAAGCTGGAAGAATTAGCTAGTTCCTGCGTTCTAGGACAAGGCTTCTCAGACTTTGGAAGTGTGCCTCTGCGTCACTTACGGATCTTCATAAAAGGCAGGTTCTCATTTAGGAAGTCTGGGGTGGGGCCCAAGAGTCTTCATTCCTAACGAGCTCCCAAGTGGTTCTGTCGCTGCTACTCTGTGGACCATAATGAGGAGCAAGATTCTGGAGCTACATTGTCTGATATGGTAGTGCTGAAGACACCCCAGATTTTGAAGACTTCATATAAAAAATAAAGTATCACAATAATTTTTATATTGATTGCACATTGAAATAATATTTTGGATATACTGGGTTATGTATTAAAGGATTTTTTAAAGATTTATTTATTTTTAAAGGTTTTATTTATTCACTTGACAGAGAGAGAGAGCACAAGCAGGAGGAGAGGGAGAGGGAGAAGCAGGCTCCTCGCTGAGCAGGGAGCCTGACGTGGGACTCGATCCCAGGACCCCTGGGATCATGACCTGATCATGATCTGAGCCAAAGGCAGACACTTAACTGACTGAGCCACCCAGGCGCCCCAAGATTTATTTATTTTAGAGAGAGACTGCGTGTGCAAGCAGGGGGAGGGGCAGAGGAAGAGTATCTCAAGCAGACCCGCCGCTGAATGTGGAGCCCGAATGGGGGCTTGATCTTACAACCCTGAGATCATGACCTGAACTGAGATCAAGAGTCAGACATTTAACCGACTGAGCCACCCACGTACCCCTAAAGATTTTATTTTTCAGTCATCCCTGCACCCCACTTGGGGGTTGAACTTACAACCCCATGATCGAGAGTCACATGCTCCACCAACTAGCCAGGTGCCCCTCTTTTTACTGTTTTTAAGGTGACTACTAGAAAATTTAGAATTTCACGCATGCCCTACATTATGTTCATATCGGACAACGCTGTTCTAGAACACTAATATAATAGAAACATTATTGGTGTTCTTTTTTTTGGTTGACCCCATTTCTCAATCCCCTTGTTAACCATTTCACCTTCTGTTAGCTCAGTTCATTATTTGTGTCATTCTTTTCTCTGAATGTTTGCTGTTCCGGCCATTACTCTCCTTCCCACCTTCCTCATCTCCATCTTTGCCATCGTTGTTCTGGGGCTTCCATCCAGTCGTCCAATGGTCCTAAGAGCCACCATACAGGCAAGCAGCTTTGCTCCAAGCTTCTGGCCATGACACTCAAAGTGTGGTTCCTGGAGGCAAGAGCCTCACTGGGAGCTGGTTAGGAATGCAGAGTCTCCGGTCCCACCCAGACCTGCTGAAGTAGTCTTCTATTTAACAGAACCCCCAGGGGATTTGTCTGCTCCTGAAAATGTGCGTGGTGAGGGCTTTGCCAGTCATCTTTCCTCAAGCAACCCCATTTCAGTTCATCTCCACATCTGTTCCTTCGGTTGGATTTGATGAAGTCTCTACGAGGCTGAGATAACCCTGAAAGTTGTGGCTCAGAGAAACTAGCACTCTCTCTCAAAAAAAAAAAAAAGTATATATATATATAGTTAAGCAGTGAATTTGGGGCACATGGCATCCAGAAGGTGAGTCCAGAGATTGAAATCCTATGACTTCCTGCAAATAGATTGAGATAACCTTCTCTCTCTCAGAGACACATGACCATGCCCTCCCCCGTCTCCGGAGCGTTAGAGCTGCTGGGGAAATGGACCTCACCTTGCTGGGTCTAGTTTACATCTGACTGCTGCAGTCACTGGCCACGATCCGAGCTCAACATACACCATCCCTGCAGCCAGACGTCTTCCTAGGCGTGGGCTGACTGCGGGGGCCTGAGGAGGGAATGTGTGGTTGCTGGCTCCAGGTCAGGAAAGGGGGCACCTACCAGAATACAGGCCCCGAGTCCCGGTACCAAGCCCTCCAAGTGACTTAGGGGCCCAGCAAGTCAGAGAGGCACTGCTCTGTGGCCTGTTCTCCATCCTGGGCTATTAGCATGGATCACATTTGGGGGCATCTTTAATTTCTCTTTTATGCCACAGGCTCATTGGGCTCCCTGAGGCCCATGCCTGGCACAGAGTAGATGTTGAAAATACTCACTGAACAAATTAGCATTCCCTTTTGTAAAGTCCTAACACCCAGCATCTCTGACTTGACCCAGTGGGCAGGGATGGGGACAATGAGAGGCCTTAAGCCAAACTGCAATCAGGCTGTTTAGCGCGATGTGTCCTCAGAGGAAAAGCAGGGCTGAGGGGGAGTGAGGGTGGAGAGCCGGGCCCGAATCGAGGCACACGCTCACAGAAAGGAATTGGGGCACACTGTCATGACTCCCGGTTTCCCCTGACCAGCACTCCTGGTCACCATTTTCCTGTGGCTCTTTTTTAATGTCACGATGAGCTCTAATTTGAGCCGCTTTTATTGTCCCCCGGAGACTTTGGAGTTGCTCTGTGGGTATCACAAAACCTGAAACCCAATCCGTATATCCTGGGCTTTGGGGAAGTGGGACCATGGGTGCGCGGGTTATTTTTAGCAGTCGTTGGGAGTAGAGCCAAAGCTCCCAGAGATACAAAAAGTATTGAGAATCGCCCGATCGGCTGTTGGAATTAGCCGTTAAACAAAACAGTCAGTAACTGAACACTGGGGACTTTCTTGAACTCCATTTGGGTGGGAGGCCTTCCAGTGTGTGTGTCAGCCCCGAACTAGGACAGAAAGGTAGAGACGGGCAAAGCAGCTGATAAAAGCACTCTCCTCTCCGCCCTTTGTCTGGGAGTTTCGCCTCGTCTCAGACTCACTTCCTTTCTTTGTCGCTGCACTCTATTCCAATGCTGTCCTGCCTGGTCAGATTTACTGACTAGCAGAAGAGAAACCCCAAGGGAGGCCCCGGGCTTGCGTTCCATAATGAATCTGATCCAGGTACTCGATGCTCTCTGGTACACAAAGGAATCTTGTTCTATGGATTGAAAGCAGAAATAAAGGAAGGGACATTTTGGACATTGACCCGGGTCTCATTCACTTAATCATTTACAGGGGAGCGGATTCTTTGTCGTAGCGATTTCAGAAAAGTGCTGGTGTTTATCATTTATCTTTTCCCGAGTGTACTTCCGAAAGACTTGACACACAATAAACAAAACCAGTTTTCTAAAGCGCCACTTTCCCTGGCATGCTCTGTTTCAAAATCGAGCCCTTCACAGCCACTGAGCATCTTACCAACACCACGTTGTCACCCCCCCGGGGACTGACACACATCCTGAATGCCATACTTTTCAGAAAGAAGTTATGAGTTTAGACCATCACATCCATCACAGAATTGAAAACGAGCATTGGCATCAGGCTTGGAAAAGTACATTTCATTATATATATTTTCCATAGAGAGAGAGGTTAAGAATATGGTATTGTTCTAAAAATGACCAGGATCCTCTCAGGACCAGCTAGACTGATTACTCAGAGAGATGCCCGTAAAATAACAGAAATGTACATATTTACAAGGCAGCGGCATCCACTAGCCTGCATATGCAGTAGGCATCCTCAAAGCTTGTTAGAGACCAGCGTGGGCTCATAGAAGTTAGCAGCCAGAACTGACAGGGGACGAAAGGTAAATGAGCTGAGAGCAAACCTGCTGAAATTATTTGGTGCATGATTAAGCAACTCTGGGCTGAGGGCGCTGGCTTAGGTATATACCACTTCCTACCTAGGTTAGAGACCAGTGGCCCTCAGCTAGAATTTACAGGATTTCAAATGGTAAAAGAAGCTATTTAGAGCCTCAAAGGAAGCAGTTGTTAAAAAGGGCAGTAATTCTGTTTTTAGCACCTACATCATCCTGGATCAAGAAGCATGAAGCGAGGGGCACGTTCATCGTTCCCATAATCCTCCCGAGTGGCAGGAATTTTGCTAAAAATCAGTCTCATGCCTTCAAAGGTATTCAACAAAAGCTCTTTCCAGAATTTTTTCTTTTTTTCCCCTCTGACCTTTAAGCCTGTGCAGGGTGGGCGGAGAAGGGCTTGTTCACCCATTTTCCAGGTAAGAAAACAGGCCCACACTGTTACTTGTCCCGATTGGCACGGGGAGGTCACCCATCTTTGAAAAGAGCTAACACCTGTCAGCTCGTTCTGCCTTCCTCCCCTGGAAGAAAGCAAAGGCCCGTGGGATTCACCACGTCCTGGTAGCTGTTACTCTCTATACCATTCATTGTTGACTAGACATTTCAGCCTTCTGCCACGTCTGGAGTAGCTATTTAAATCTAACGGTTAAATACTGCTTTCTCTTTTAAGCATCTTCTCTCTGACTGGACTCTAAGCTCCATGAAGACGGAGGCTCCCTCTCTCCCGCCTCGCATCGCTCTCTACGCCTCGTGTGGTATTTTGAACCACGCAGGCACCTTCATAAAAAATCAGTTGATTCGAACGTTCCAGGGATGAGCACCACTTGGATCATGTTATTGGCAGTGCGTCTGAGGGAACAGATGTTCCTATTCAAATCCATGAAACTGGAAACATTAAAAAACAACAATCATGACATTGATTGATAGTGATATTTACTGTGTCAGACCGTGTAAGCTCGGCTATAAAATCGACTTGCATACTGTCGTCTTTACATTTGGATTTCAGAGATTCTCAAACGTTTAAATAATGTCGCTGGACTCAGATCCTAATTCTTTTTTTTCTTTTTTTTTTAAAGATTTTATTTATTCATTAGAGACAGAGAGAGAGAGGCAGAGGGAGAAGCAGGCTTCCCGCCGAGCAGGGAGCCCAATGCGGGACTCGATCCCAGGACCCTGAGATCATGACCTGAGCCAAAGGCAGATGCCCTCAGATCCTAATTCTTATTTGATGCACTGTTCAGTGTTTCTTTATCGAATTAACAGCCCTGTTCTTCGGAATGTCACCCTGCCTGAGAAAGCAGCACCTCTGGGTGCTTCGAAGATATTTTTGGTTACAACAAAATACTTATCAGCTGGGAGGGCGCACGCGGCGAAGACCACGGGAGATGCCCCAAGGCTGCAGAGGGCTGTGCCTATTAAATACCCCACAGGACGGCTGGGTGGCCCTCGCTGGAACCGGTTTATATAAGGTTGTCCCAGAGCCTTTAGTGTAATCCTGAGCGCGAATGCACCTTCCTGAAAGGCTGTCTTTTTTTTTCTCCAGCTCAGGTCACGGACGGGCAGAGCTCCTCTGCATGAGGCCCTCGGCCGGCTTCCGCTGGCCTGCAGCCCTGGCCAGAATCTGCGTCGCACCGCGGGGCCTCCGGCCTCGGGAGAAGCAGGCGCTGCTCGCCCCGCCGGTGGCGGTCCCCGCGGTCCCGGCAGCGGGCAGGAAGGAGCGCCCCGCTCCGCCTCCCCTGGATGAGACGGAACTTGAAGAGCAGTTTGTGAAAGGGCACGGTCCCGGGGGCCAGGCCACCAACAAAACCAGCAACTGTGTGGTGCTGAAGCATGTCCCCTCGGGCATCGTCGTCAAGGTAGACAGACGTCCCCTCTTTGGTAAACGGCAGTGACACCTGCCCCTTCGGGCACAGCCTTCCCAGCCCTCAGGACAAAAATGCGACGCGGGGCTGCCTGGAGGCGGCTTCCTTTACCTGGAAACCAGTCTCTGATCAGAGTATCCCCAGCTCTCAACACGAGCCCCTGGGAGGTACTAAAATGCTGTCTCCCGTTTCCTGGTTAGTAGGGGCCCCACTGGCTCTCAGTGCGGTCCCTGCCGAGTCACCAGAGGCCCTGAGAAGGGACGGCAAGGCGGGCTTTCCATATACCAACGACAGGGCAGGCCCCGGTGGGCGCAGCGCCGCACGCGGTCGGTCGTCACCCTCGCAAGCCCTTACGCCTTGGCTTCCTCATGGTGCAGGTGTGGAACCAGGCACAGAGAGGTTAGGTAACTTGCCCGAGATCCTACAGCGGCAGGCGTCACCCAGACCAAGCCCAAGTCTGTGCTCCCAACAGCTGTTCTTCACTGCCAAGTTTTTGAGCCAAGAGCCTATCCGTTAAAGCCTCAGTCACTTTTCTTTTTCTCTTTGAGAAAAAGCGTCATTCATGAGCCACACATGAAATTCTGAAACCCGACAGGATTTTTGTTTAACTGTTTTATACACGTACTGCAGATCTGCTTACAGTACTCTTCTCTCGCTCTAATTTCACAGAATTGTTTTCAAATAGCTTTGTAAGGCACTCGCCCTTAATAACTCAGGGATGACATAATCAACGATACGGTTGACTAATAATAAAGATGGTATCTCCCTCCCTGAGACAGACTTTATGTTTAGAAATGGTGCAGACGGAGGGCTTGTGCCCTGGCCACAAGCTTAGACATACCAGTTGATATTTTCAAAATTATCTGGGGACTTTAAGTTATCTGAAGCTATCATTGCTTCCGAACAAAGCAATACTCTTAATTATAAAACCATCACCGAGAAAGCCACGTAATACAGCTGGGGGGTGGGATGAGCTGAAGGCTGAGAAGAGGCAGGAAGGAGGGCATATGGGCTTGGCTCTGTCCTGGACTCACTGGGATTCTTGACAAGTGGCCTTGCCTCTCGGGCCCATCCCCATCTATAGAGCAAGTGGGTTGAATTCCACAGTTTGAGATCCTGTCCAGAACAAACTTTTTCACATTATAAAATATTATCTCTTGCAGTGCCATCAGACAAGATCGGTTGATCAGAACAGAAAGCTCGCTCGGAAAATCCTACAAGAGAAAGTGGATATTTTCTACAACGGTGAAAACAGTCTTGTTTACAAAGAAAAACAGGAGGCAGAGAGGAAAAAGCAAGAGAGGAAAAAAAGAGCAAAGGAAACCCTAGAAAAAAAGAAGCTCCTGAAAGAACTCTGGGAATCCAGTAAAAACGTCCACTGAGAAGGAATCGAAGATGCTTTTCTGTTGTTGTCTTGTTGTTTTTAAGATCTTTACATCCAACGTGGGGATTTAACTCACAATCCTGATCCCGAGATAAGAGTCACACGCTCTTCTGAGCCAGCCAGGCACCCCGGAAAGAATCACAGATTCTAACTAAAGAAACTGCCAGATGCACGGCGCCTGGGTGGCTCAGTCAGTTAAGCGTCCGACTGTGGATTTCAGCTCAGGTCATGATCTCAAGGTCATGGGATCGAGCCCCACGTCAGGCTGGGCACGGAGCCTGCTTGAGATTCTCTCTCCCTCTGCCTCCACACACACATACACACCCCGCCCTGCTCCACTCTTGCTTGCACACTCCCTCTCTCTGAAAAGATAAAAATTGACAGATGCTTCCAAGGAATAATGGTAGGGAGTTCCATTCCATCTCAAGCGTTACTCTAGCTAATTTCTGTATTTCTGACACACTTAACGTTTTTAATCAATTTTTAAATGGCGGACTAAACTGTAATGAATAGAGACGCACATTTTGAGAATAAAACTATAGACACACAGAAGACATTACCATAAAAGAACAGCGGCTAGCTACTTTTCATGGGGAGGAAAGGGGTTGTCGTGATAGGACACCCGGAGGGGCTGTGGATGGCTGACAAAGGTCTTTCTGGACCTGGGTGGGTAGTTAGAAGGATGTCACCATATTTTTTTAAGCTACACATTTGTGTGATTGTCTTGTTTTATTATCAAAGGTTAAAAATAAGCACTAGTAGTAATAAGGAAGGTCCATTTTTGGGGGGAAAACTATGGAATGGAGTCAAACATTAGTGGCATTTTTGGGGCACCTGGCTGGCTCAGTCGGTGGAGCATGAGACTTTTGATCTCAGGTCATGAGTTTGAGCCCCATGTTGGGCGTAGAGCTTATTTAAAAAAAAAAATACACATGACATTCCCTATGTGTTGTTTATAAGTAGATTTATGAGATGAGTTTCCAGAAACCTGATTTGTGAATTTGCTTACAATGCCATCACTCAAGCTGGATTTGACCCTACAGTTGTTTGGAGTTTTTAGGCAGAGGTAATAGCTTCCCTTGTCAGAATACATCTGGGGTTCACCCGTGAACCAAGCAGGGGAAAAACCACAAGGGGAGAAGGCCACTGTCAGGGTCTGCAGTCCAAACCAGCCCATTCGGCAGGCACAGACCGGTGCCCAGTGCCTGTCGGAATACACATTTAAGGCAGCCGGGTAAGGCTCTTCTCACCTCGACGCGAGCTGGTCTGGAAGTTTAAGCATTGTGCGCAAGGCTCTGGAGACCGGTCGCAGCATCCAGGACCCATCCCCATGCGGACCTCCATTCAAAAGGTAGCCAAGCACCTGGAAGGGTACACGACAAGCAGGTAACGGCGGGAAGAGAAATTTGGGAGCTGTAGACAGGAGGGACAGAGGCTTCACTCTCTCCTCTCTCGTGCCTTCTGGGGTTCGCTGTGCATGAAACAGATGTAGACACGCCCACTCTTACTGACCTTTCGACCTGTCGTGGCTGGGCCCTTGCCTCATGCCTGCAAAATTGACCCCATCCCTCATTTGTCTGTCTCCCCTCACCACTGAGGACCACCATCCGCGTCCTCAACATGTCCAGCGCAAGCGGGCCTTCCCCAGCCCCGGGGCAGGGAATCCTCCCGGTGAGCACCTGGGGTAGCTACCTGGAGTTTAGAGGCTGCACCGTAGGAGAATTAGATTCCGGGAGCAGGACAAGCACCTGGAAGCCGAGAATGGCCTCACTGAGGGCAGGCCATGGGCAAAGTCAGTAACGCCACATCCACTAACGTTCTTGCTTGCTTCCCCTGCACACCCGGCTGTCCACGGCAGTCACAGTGCACCGTGATGCGACATTGTCTGACCCCCACCTTCTGACTTAGGCAGACGCCTTCCTCCCCCAGCCCGTGGTGGTTCTGGCATTGGCACGAATAATGTTCCTGAGGCCAGGTAGGCAAACCCTCTGTGGCAGGGATCTCCCACTCTCGTCGGAGGAGCTGTTTTTTGGTTTGTTTTTAAAGATTTTCTTTTTAAGTCACCTCCACACCTGACGTGGGGCTCGAACTTATAAGCCCCAGATCGAGAGTTGAACCTCTAGTGACTGAGCCAGCCAGGCACCCCCGAGGAGCTGTTTTTTAAAAACACCACTTAAAAAACAACAAAAACACTTAAGAATTCAAGGAACCCACACCTTAATACAAATTGTTAATGAAAATAAGCTTTATTACATCAAGTAATAAATACATACAAAGATGCAAACAGTTTTAGTCATTTTCTTCCAGATGTTTGGATCAACTTACAGGAAAAGCAGAACTGAAACCCACACACAGTCTTAGTAGGAAAATTTGGAGGGGGTGGGGGGGGTTCTCATTAGGTTAGGTTTGGTAGGTTGCTCTTTCTTCTGTATTTATAACTTGTGCATTTTTTAAATTGACCTCAAAGCACTAACAGTCATGCAAGCAAATGCTTAAGCACAAAAGTTACATTAAGCGGAATCCACACGGTGTGGCAAATGTACGCACTCAAAAAAAAAAAACCCTCAGAGTTGTATTAGCTTATGAAAAAGAACGGAGAACAATCTGGGTAACATAACTGGGATCTTTGCTGTGAGACAGGTATCTTTTACGTGCATCTTTTAAATCAATGCTTAAAAAAAAAAAAAAAAAAAACCCAAAAAACCCTGGGTAATTCCTAACTATTTAAAATGTAAATCCTAGTCAACTGCAAAATATTTCTCAATCTCAGAGCCTCATGAACCATGGGAGGGACGTGGGAAGGAGAAACCAAACTGTTACCCTTTTGAAAACAAGAGTTTCATCTGAACATGGGCGATGAGCTGTAACTTCTGGTCTTGGACGAAGATGGAAAACCTTCCGCGAGGCCAGGCAGCTAGGATCGGGCATTCCGTTCCGTTTCGGCCAAGCACTCTCGAACCAGTCCTCTGGCGTGAATGATGCCTGGAGGAGGAGCAGAGGCTGAGGATGGTCCAGCAGAACCCACTCCAGGAGAGGAAGAGGGCCCTTCGCAACCCAGCTGAAAAGCCCCCGCCCTGGGAGGGAACTCGGGACCTGCACCCCAAGCACCCCGGGGTTCCAGCGGTGTGGAGACACGTGAGCGTCCCGTCCGTCCCTCGAAGGCCTTCCCTCCTCGCCCAAACTCCTCTTCGTGGCTCCTAACAATCCCTTCCCGCCCACACAGGGACGGCCAGCGAGCTCTCCGGGCACGCCAGGCTCTCAGAGGACGGAAGTAGATGTGTCCCCGCCCGCTTTCGTCAAGCCTGCCCCACTGTGGAGAATCCAGGACTGCAAATCCTGATTTTTCTCTGGCTTCTTCACAGTCTACGTTCTAGAAAGGGCTTGTCCAGTGTCCAGCCTGCACAGTTAGGATGCAAGACTGCTCATTTATGTTCACCCTTGGTCCACGGTGACGTTGCCCGCCGGGTGCCAAGAGCACCTTCGGCCCTATCACCCCCCTGCCCATCTCTTCCCTCTGGTTTGGTGGTTATGGTTTGGTTGTTGCGTTTGTGTGGTGGTGGTGGCGGCGGCCTTGAGAGAACGCCGGGAGACACCGATCTCGTTCTAATAGACACAAAGAATCTACTCCTTCTGAGTCCTTCTGAGAGAGGACCGCCGGAGGGCACTGTGAGTGACATCCCCAAGTCACGCAGGCGTCCGCATCTCACAAATCTTATCTCTGAGCTTCAGAAGACTTTTTTCTAGAAAGGGCCAGGCAGTAAATACCTCGTGCTTTGCAGGCCGCGCGGGCTCTCTCACAACCACGCAAGCAGCCGTTACAGAAGCAGTGGGTGTGGCCATGTTCCAACAAACCTTCATCACGAACGCTGAAGTCTGAACTGCAGAGCATTTTCACCGGTCACAGAATCATTTTCCGCCATTAGAAACTGAAAACCGTGCTTGGCCTATCAGGTACAGTTTGCTGACCTATCCGCCATGCGCCTGACTCCCCCGTACCCTTTATGACCCTTCTTCACCCTGTTACGACATGACCTTGGCTAGCTTGGGCTTGGCTCCCGGTCAGTGTGACCGTGGGACCAGCTGCTCACGCGGCACGTGCCCTGGGGCCATCACGAGGCAGATCCATCGGTTGGCCTGAACCCACTGGCTTTTCTGGGGGACTGCAGATCGCCTGTTAGACTCTGGGGTCCAGCATCTTCCCAGGGATTTCCACTCGGGTAAGCAGAACTCCAGGGGTCAGGACTGTCTTGCTTCCCCTGCCTCCAAACAGCAGTCCGGACGCAGAGCAAAGCCCACCTGCTCCCCACCCCGACCCCGGGCTGGATCGGGGTTAACCCCACCTCTCCCCAAGCCCTGTCCAGGTCCAGCCTCTCTGCCCACGAAGGCTTCATACACACCAGGGAAGCCCGCTGCCATGGGCCGGAGCCTGTCCTCGCCAGCCGCGCCCGCCACGGGGGAGTCGTGGCCTCCGCAGCAGGCCCCCTTTATGCCCCAGATTGAGTCCCGGCGTGCCTCTCCAACCTTCCCCAGAAACACCAGATCGCTTCTGAAATTAAATTCGCACCCAGGCCACAGCTGCTCTGCCCTGCCACCTTCTAAAACCGAAATCCTCTTCTCCCCTCCCCTCCAGTGGCTTCGTGAGGTGGCAGCCGATTTCACCTCCCCCTGGAATCAGCTGGTCAGTCACGTCTTCACGTGAGTCACTGGGTTTCTGTGACATCATGCTCCTGCCCTCCCACCCTCCCTCCTCAGTCATGAAGGAATTTCAGTGCTCTTGCTCTCCCTCCCCAGACTAGGACAGACCTATACGCCCCCTCGGGCTCCGCTCCAAAGAGCTGACAGCGAGGGCAACCCAGGACCCGGGACCTCCCGACTCCTCGTCCCCGGCCCACCCAGAAAAGGAAGCCTCCCGCGGCTCCCTGGAACCAGCAGCCAACAGGAGCCGAGCAGGCAACAAACAAAGCGGCAGGATCTGGGCTATAAAGATTCCTTTTCTAAAGCATATGGACCCTCCCGGGAGGCACGCAAGGCCTTCCCGTCAGATCCCAAGAGCAGTGTACATCCCACTGACCGGCCCACCCCCGCCCCTGCGATGCCTCCACATCGGAGTAACAAAACGGGGGCCCCTGGGGCATAGGGAACTCCCCCCAACCCCGAAGAAAATCTCTCACAACAGTTAGCGCCCAGCAGGGAGGCAGCACCCGTCAGGGGAGTCTGGGTCCTGCTACTTACCTCGTTTTAGTCTCTCCATGGCACTCTTGCTCCCCGCATAAGTGGGTCTAATCTCTTTCCCCAACTCCTCGATGATGGCCAGCAGCTCGGCGTATTTGCTCTGGGGTACCTGGCTGTTCCCTGTTCCCTAGAGTCAGAAGGAAGAGTTTACATGGATCGAACCCTTCCCTGACCCCGTGGCCACGGTCAGGACCGCACCACATGCCGGCCACGGCGAGGACAGGGCAGGGAGAGGCTCGCCCAGAGGCAGCTGCTGCCTTCGCCGGGGCCAGGCCTGTCCACCCTGAGGGAGAACCACAGGCAGAGAGCTGGGCCTCTCTGCTGTCCTCCTACACTCAAGGAAACCACCAGCAGCCTCCAGAAGGCTTTCATCCTCTCGAATGAGCAAAAGGAGGACTGGCTGTTCTCGGCAAGCACTGGGTATTTCCTAGGACCCAGGTGGAAGTGCAAGTACATCCCAGGGGAGGACAGTCCAGAGCAAGGGGACGAGATGGGGGCCACACCCTGGGGTCAGCAGGACCACAAATAACTGCCAAAGACCATCTGGACAGAACACAGAATATGTTTCAATTCACCCATTCTCCCCGCGCCGGCAGGGCCCACCCCACAAAACCCCTTCTTCTCTAGACTCCCCCCCCCATAGCCCAAGTAAGCACCCCGACGAGTGAGGCTGGGGTCCCCGCGGGCCCCCCCAACAAGGCCCTCGCCTGCTCCTCCCTCCTCCGCCGCCGTCTCTGTCTCCTGGCCTCCAGGGCCCCCCTCCTGTCCTTGCTCAGCTCCTCAGCGCCCTCCGGGTGCCGCCTCCTGGCCCGGCGGTCCTCCTCGCCCTCCTCCCACGGCCGCTTCCTCCGGCGGTCCCGTTCCAGGTCCCGTATCTGCTCCTGGGACAGCACGGCCTGGCGGGGCATGGCCGGCCGCCACCCTCTCGCAGGGTCCGTGGCGACCCTGGAACGCGGCCGCGTTCCGATGACGGCAGAGAGCCCGACGGCAGCCATGGCCGGCGGGCACCGAGGCAGGGGCCTGGCCAGGTCCCTCCACCGGCGGCAGCCAGGGAGGCCAGTGGCAGCGTCGACCCCGCTTGACGGCGAGGAACCGGGTCTCGGCGAGGTTGCCAAGCAGGGGTCAGGCCTGGAAGTGGCAGAACCACGTAGAAACCCCTGCGGCCTGGTCAAGGGCCCCCATTCCCGATGAGGCGCATCTGGGCTCCGGGAGGATATGGGCCCTGTCTTCCTCTTTGCTGGGGCCACGACCTTGCAGGGGGTGAGTGGGAACGGGGTCCCCTCTCCTCTGTCCAGGCTCAGATCCAGAGCCCGGGCCAGGCTTACTTCCTCAGGAACCCGGCACAGAGACTCCCGCCGCAGGGACGCACGTGGGTGGCGGCCCCAGCAGGGCCTGCAGCACTCAGGCCTTCCAGCCCCGCCGTGGGCTCTCCGCCCCTGTCTCCTGGTACCCCCGGGAAACAGCCTGCCGCCCCTCTGCTCCAACGCCCCGAGGCTTGAGACTTGAGGCCGGCGGGGCCGGAGGTTGAAGCAGTTCAGACGACTGTTCCATTCCATCATTTCTACCCCGTCCCACCGGCTCCCCTCCCCGGATGGCGGGAAGCATGTCCCCTTGGTGCCCAGGCCAGCCCCAGAGCCCCTCTCGCCCCACACCCCCCACTACCGTACCTGGGTGTAGCCAAGAGACGGCGGCCCGTAGTCACTCAGCAGCTGGCGGTACTGGGAGGAGGTCGCCATACTGGTGGAGGGCGGGTGGACGCTCCCAGCTATGGAGGAGAAGAGAAGAATCGGGAATCATGTGATTGTACCCAAAGCAAAGACTCTCGGTCCCGCGACAGCCCCCCGACCCAGGACGCATGCCGGACAGCGGTCTTTTGTCTTCACAGGACAGAGACCCTGCTCCTGTCCTCTAGTTTGGGGATGGCTGGCGCTCAGCCCAGATGACAGGAAAACGTAGCTAACAGGTCGCCGCTCTTCCTACCCACCACCACAGCAGACCTCGCTCCTCGGTCACAGAACTCCTTCCCATCTGCGCGGTCAGGACTGGTCGCAAAGACGAAATCTGCGCCTACTCTTGGCCTAATCCTTGCTGGTCCCTTTTCCCTGGGTCCTGCTCCCCAGAGATGGATGACCGAGAGCCGAATCACCGCCACAGGAGCCCACCTGCTACGGGGCCGGCCTACATCCCGTGTGCCCAAGCCTTTGCTGGACATATGCTAAGGAAGACAGAGGGAGGGTTTAGAGGCCCAACCCTGGCCGGAGACTGGTTCACTGGACACCAAGTCAGAATCTGGAGTGTATCACAGTCTCTCTGTGTGTCCTCGGTGGCCTCTCAATCTCCCTGAGCCCCTGCGGTTCCCTCCCCAAAGAGGGGACAGGATTCTTGACAGTCTGATTCTACGCCTGCATGGCTCGCATCCCAAGAGGGGAGGGACAAGGCCCCGTCTATGGACTGCAACACTCAGACACCCTGTCCCTCAGCTGTGAGGGACCACGTGGGGACAGGGCCCGGCTAAGAATGGAGCCTCCTGGATGCGGGGTGGGGAGTCATCAGCAGGGAATTTTCCGGCTCCGGCTCAGTAGCTGGAAGCATGCAGACCCATAATGGCGTCCAAGTGGCCATTAGCGGGTAGCGGATGTCCTGCAGAATTACAAACAGCGGTAACCATGGAGAATTTACCTAGCCCTCCTCAGCAGCCGCCCGCCTGCCTCCACGCCCAGTCGAGGAGCAGCTCCCCCTCTGCCTGCCGCCCCCAGAGCCAAACGGTCTCTCAAGCACACGGCGGACTCCGCAGACTTGGCCCCGGGAATGGACAGCTGGTGCCAGGCTGGCCAAACCGACCAGCTGCTCATCTGGTGTGAGCAGGGGAGGGGACAGGGAGGAAGAAAGCTCAGGAGCTCCGGCTGGTGGAGTGGAAGGGGCCCTCGGGGAGCCCTGGAGCCCCTGACCATAAAGAGGCAGTCTGGAGAGGGTGGGCGTTCTCCTGAGCCACACACCACAGAAGAGGCTGGTACCCCGACACCATACTGCCCTCTGTCCAGGAGCTGGGGACAGCTCTGTACCCAAAATGTCTTCCCCACTCTCGGGCCTGCCCTGGATTTCACCTCCCCCACCCCAAGCCGGGGCCCAGGTTTAGGCTCAAATGTGGGATGCCCAGTCAGGAAACATGGATTCTGCCACCTCTAAGCCGGTAAGTGGGCACATCACCGGGCCACTCCTCGCCCCGGCCGCCACGCCTCTAAAGTGGGGACGGTAAGACACGGGTGCTTCGGGCACATACTGCTCAGGATGGGACGAACTACTACCGTGTCTGTGACCTCCATCCGAGGCAACCACAGATGTGCAGCGGCCAGAGCACAGGAGCGGGGCAGGGTGGGTGCCCCCCCAAGCACCCCTCACCAGAGCAGCCAAACCCCAACTTCCTGAACCTTCTGATGTGGGCAGCTGAGTGTGGCCTTTGCAGCCCCAGATCTGGGTTCCAGTCCTGACCACCGCAAGATAGCACACCTCTCTGGAAGGCCAGGATGCTAAATGCAAGACCAGGGGGGTACGTACCCCTGCAAAGCAGCCCAGGGTCCAGGAGATTCCAGTTCCTGGGCAGGAGGTGAGCGGGACTCGGGTGTGCATTCCCTGCACCACCCTTCGCCCTCACCTCTTGTTGCTCGGCACTGCTTCTCACCTCCCTGCCTCCCGTCCCATCCGCTCTCCTACAGACAAGGGCCTGGACCGGGAGTTGGTCTGGTTGTGTGACCTTGGAGTACACCCTTCCCTCTCTGGGCCTCAGTTTCTCCATCTGTTTGAGGCAATGATTCCCAACAGACTGTCTAAAGGCTCTAGATCCCATTCTTCCATGGGGCTAGGGTTAGGTCTCGGGTGGGGGGCTAAGACAGGGAGGGAAGAGAAATCACCAGGTTTGGGTTGGGGGGAGGGTTGGGCAACAGCTGAGGGCTTGCCTTTCCCATCCCCAGGTGACGTGGTCGGTGACCCCAATTCTGTGTCAGTGCCAGGCTCTCACTCTGTTGAAAAGGGGGGCGTGTGTGTGCGGCCCTGGGGAGAGTTGGCAGAAGGGCCCTGAGTTCTACTCATGCCCACTCCTTCCGGCAGACACGGGGAGGGCCAGTGCATCCGGCTGCAGGAGGCCAGGGAGAAAACCAGACTGGGCGTGAGCACGGCCGCTCTGAGCATCACAGACAATGCACGCAGTGTGCGGGGGACCAGGGAGGGCCCGGAGCCAGGGGAGGGATTGGCAGAGGCCGGCAGCTCCTGGGGCCAGGCGCAGCTCCCCGCCCCCACGCCAGACAAAGAGCGGCCTGGGCCTGGGGAGCTGGCGGCCTTCCCGCCACTTGGGGCGCCTGGGGTGGGGGGAAGTGCTCTCGGGCGGGGAGGCAGGGGCTTTGTCTAACTCCGCCACTGCCACCGCCGGCCAGGCCGCAGCTTGGCAACCCGTGAGCAGGAGGCAGGGCTGGAGGGCGTGAGGGATGATGACAAGGAAGCCGGAGGAGCGGCAGCGGAGAGTCCATCTTGGATGCAAATGGCAGGGGGAGAGTGGGGCTTTCTAAAGGGTCCATGGGGAGGGGCGCAGCCCCCCCCATCAAAACACCAGGTATCTGGGGACCTCAGCAGTCCCCCTGGAAATCACCGCAGAAGAAGACCTGTGCACAGGTGCCAGCCAGCCCAGCACAGGGCTTCAGGGGTCCTGAGTGGGTGCCCCTGTCACTTTGACCCCAATCCCCGAGGGTCCCGGTTTAGGGCACCTGCCTCAACTATACTAGGCCAGGCCTGAGATTTCCAGGGTGTCAGGGCTGACAGCAAGACCTTCCGCCCTGCATACCCCAGAGACAGATGAAGCAGGCAAGGAGAAATCCTCTCTGGGCCCCAAAGCCTATCTCTGGAAGGTCTGCAGACCCCAAAGGTGGTGAGAACATTCGAGAAAATCGTGGCTGTTTGCTCTTGGGACGCAGACCCCAAAGTGAACCAGTTCAACTTTGCCCCCACCCGCAACCTGAACCTTACCCCTTTCCAACCCCCAAATCTGTGTCCTTTAAGTTAAAATACATATATATATATATATATATATATATATATATATATATAAAATAATTGATTTTCTGGGTCTCTCTTCAAATTTTTGGAGTTACGGAGTCAACGTTGGGAGACAAGGCCCAAAACTTGCGGCCAACTGCCAACGTGGCATTTCTGACCAGCAAGGCCAATCCCCTCCCCCACAAGGCCTCTGCCCCCTCCCCCCTCGAACGCGCCTGCTTTTTTGGAAGTCCATTTCCAACCCAGGGTCTAAGGGAAAAAGACCCAGGCAAGGGGAAAAGCCCGGCACACCCTCACCTCACCATCTTCCTTCCCCCACCCCAGCTCTCCCCTTGACCCCTGGGGCAAGCCCCGGGGCGCAGCCTGAAGCTGCCTGACAACTTCTGGAGGAGTTTCCTGGCCTCGCCCAGCTCCAGCCCCCGGGAAGGGAGAGGACGCCCCTCCACCCCCGGCTGCCGCAGGAGGGGCCTTCGAAGCCCAGACTTGGCAGCGCCGGGATGCCGGGTCTGGGCTGAAACGCCGCCCTCACCCGCCGCCCGCAGGCGCTCCGAAGCCCCCCGTCTTCTCCAACTTCTGTCACTGCGCGCACGCCTGAGGGGACATCCGGCGCGCCGCGCTGTGGGCACCCCAGCTCCGGCGCGCCGGGCCGAACCCCCACCGATGATCGGGTCCCCTGCACCGCCGGTGACCCCAGCGGCCCCGCGCCCTCAGGGGCGCCTGCACCCGGCACGCTCGCCGCCCCCGCCCTGTCCACGCAGGGCCCGGCCTTGCTCGCCGGCACCCCTGCGGCCCGCCCCCCCCGCCCAGCCCCGGGCCCGCGCCCCCCGCTCCCTGAGGGCGGCCCGCGCCGCGCGCCCCGCGCCCCGCTCCCGGCGTGGCCCGGCCGCTCCCGACTCCCGCCGGCAGGGGCCCTCGCCGAGCCGCCCAAAAGCCGGAGGAAAAAGGAGCAGAGAAAAGCCTCCCCCGCCCTCGGCCGCCGCGCTCCCCGCGATCCCTCGGCCGCCGGCGTGGGGGGGACCGCGGCGGCCTCCCGCGCCCCCGGCCCCGGCCCGGCCGAGCCCCGCCGCGGCCCGGGGCGCCCCCGCGAACTTTGGCGGCGCGGGCGCCGGAATCATGGCGGCGGCGGCCGCGCTGCCCCGGGCCGGGACCCGGTGCCCGGCGCCCCCGGCCCCCGCGGGCCCCCGGGAGCCGGGGCCGGGGCCGGGCGCGCCGGCCCCCAACTTGGCGGCACTTGGGGCGCGGCGCGCGCGGCCCGCGGGGCGCACTCACTCACCGGCGTTGAGGGAGGCGGCGGGCATGTGCGCGGCCAAGTTCGGCTTGTAAGACATCCCCCCGAGCGGCGGGGCGCGCCGGGGCGCCGCGGGGCCAGGCCCGCGAGGGCGGCGGCGGCGAGGCCGGGCGGCGGCGAGGCGGGCCCGGCGTCCGAGCGCCCGTCCGTGCGCCCGCCGAGCTCCCGCGCACTTTTTGTTGTTGACGGCTCGGGCCGCACCGGCAAATATGGCCGTCCCTCACCCTGACACCCGCTGCAGTATATCACCCATACATCGGGCGGGCGGGCGCAGGGGCGGCCGCAAACTTTGAGCGGAGCCAGCGGGGCCGGCCCGGGCCGGGAGGGGGCGGCCCGGCGCGCCGCGGCCCGGCGTCAGGGGGCGGCTCCGCCCGCGGCCGCGCCCCGCGCCTCGGGCCGCGCTCGGCGCCCGCAACTTGGCAAAGTTTGGGGGGCTGGGTCCCGGCGGCGCCCAGGGCCCGCGTGGGTCCCTTTCTTCTCCTGGGCTCTCAGCGCCCGGACGTTCGCTCTTTTACCGCTTCGGCTCTTTCCTTCCTTCTTTTTTTTAAATAGCTAGGGAGGATTTCAGAATTACTTTTTCCCCCCTTGGATGTGGGGGCAGGGATGGAAAATTACCTGGAGAAAATGGTGGCGAGTGGTATTTTTAAGCACGTAGATCATTCCAGACGCCGAAGTCTGGCCATTCCCCAGAATGAGAACAACCAATTCTTGACATTGATTTCAAATAAATTTCGTGTCTCTGTCCGTATTAAGTGGTTTTTAACCCTTTGGGGGCCTATGAGACTCCTTGGAGACTGACAAAAGTCAGAGGCCTCTTCCCGGGAATATTCGCTCTTGCATCCACGTAACTCTACATCTTCACTCATTCAGACCTTTAAGAAGCGCCTACTATGTGCCTGGCACTGGTCCAGGCGCCAAGGATACAGGAATGAACTTGACAAAGTTTGTACTCTCCTGGAGTGTGCATTACAATTTTCGGTCCTCCTTCCACGCCCACCCCTCCAGCCCATCCTCAGGTCTGACTGAAACCTATCATCAAATATACATCTTGGATTAGATGACTAAGCTTTTGAAGGTACCGTTTCTTGGAGTTCCGCTTAAATAGTAAAGCTCGTCAAGGGGCGCCTGGGTGGCTCAGTTGGTTAAGCGACTGCCTTCGGCTCAGGTCATGATCCTGGAGTCCAAGGATCGAGTCCCGCATCGGGCTCCCTGCTTGGCGGGGAGTCTGCTTCTCCCTCTCCTGCTCCCCCCTCTTGTGCTCTCTCTCTCTCTCAAATAAATAAATAAAATCTTAAAAAAAAAATAGTAAAGCTCGTCAAAATACACAAGATACCCACCCTTTTCTGCCGTTTTTAATCGCCATGCCTTGCAGATTTTTTAATTAGTCACAGACCTTCAGGCACATCTGGATCTAGTGAAAAAGGCATCAACCTCCCCGCCAAGAGGGAAGGGTTACCACACATGCCTTCCCTCCTCCCCTTTAGGATTCAAAGTGCAGGTGGTGCCCCCTCTCCAGCTTAACCAGCACCCCCTGTGATCAGCTTTAGGCTAGTTCAGCCAAGGATACTCAGTGAAATTTTATTTCGTGAATGAATTAATGCCAAGCTCTCCTACGTTGCCCCAGGGGCCCAAATACTCTAGAGAAACATTGTCTGATAGAAATATAAATGCGAGCCACATACATAATTTTACATTTTTTAGTAGTCACAGTTCAGAAAGTGAAAAAATGGCGAAACTGATTTAACACAATATATCTTGAACAGCATGATTTCAAATGTAATGAACATAAAGAGATTAAGATACTTTATATTCTTTTCATCCTACAGAGTCTTCAAGACCTAGCGTGCATTGCACACTCACAGTACATCTTAATTCAGACTTAGTCACTTTTCAAGCGCCAATAGCCCCAAGAGCTAGCGGTTTCCCTATTGGACAGCATAGGGCTAGAAGCAGACACACCTGGGTACTACTTCTGGCCCCACCCATGAACTGTGGCCTGGGCCTCGGTTTCCTTGATGCAGGAATCTGGATCTCAGCGACCTGCCCCATCCCTCCTACAAATGGTCTGGGCTATTCTCTCTTGATATTAATTTTTGATGCGATGCCTATCCCCCTTACTTCATCACTGAAAATGTTTTGTTCCTTTTGTTTTTAATTGACATACAATTCACTTAGCATAAAATTTACCCTTTAAAATATATAATTACCCCTAGCTTTAGGTAATGGCTAATCTATATTCTGTCTACGAATTGACCTATTCTGGACATTTCATGTAAATGGAATTATACAATATGTGACCTTTTGTGCCTAGCTTCTTAGCATGTTTACAAGGTTCATCTGTGTTATAATACATATCAGTACTTTGTCCATTTTTTTTATGGCTGAATAATATTCCATTGTATGGATAGACTACATTTTGTTTATCCATCTACCCGTTGAGGGACATCTGGGTTATTTCCACTTTTTGGCTATTGTGAATAGTACTGCTATGAACATGGGTGTGCAAGTTTTTGTGTGAACATGTTTTCAACCCTTTGGGATCTATACCCAGGAATGGAATTGCTAGGCCATAGGGGCGCCTGGGTGGCTCAGTCGTTGGGCGTCTGCCTACAGCTCTGGTCGTGGTCCACGGGTCCTGGGATTGAGCCCCATGTCAGGCTCTCTGCTCGGCGGGAAGCCAGCTTCTCCCTCTCCCACTCCCCCTGCTTGTGTGTCCCTCTCTTGCTGTATCTCTCTGTGTCAAATAAATAAATAAAATCTTAAAAAAAAAAAAAAAGGAATTGTTAGGCCATTTAGTAACTCTTTCACTCTTTGAGAAACTATCAAAATGCTTTCCATAGTGGCTGTACAATTTTACATTCCCACCAGCGATGTAAAAGTGTTCCAATTACTTCTCACCAGCATTTTTATTATCTGGCTTTTTTTTTTTTTTTTTTTTTTTGGAATCCTAGTGGATGTGAACTGGTATCTCATGGTTTTGATTTGCATTTCCCTAATGAATAGTGACGTTGAGCATCTTTCCCTGTGTTTTCTAACCATTTGTGTATCTTCTTTGGAGATAAAGGTCTATTCTGATCCTTTGCCCATTTTTTGTGTTCTTTTTTTAATTTAGGAGGTGTAAATACTTCAACTTTGTTTTTCTTTTTCAAGATTGTTTTGGCTATTTGGGTCCCTTGCCTTTCTATACGAGTTTTAGGATCAGCTTGTTCATTTTAAAAAAAAAAGAAAAAAGGCAACTGGAATTCCAATTCAGGGCTTGTATTAAATCTGTGTATCAGTTCAGGGAGTATTGCTATCTTAACTGCATTATTATGTCTTTCAACCCATGAATGCAGGCTGTCTTTACATTTATTAAGGTTTATTCCCTTTAATTTCAGCAATGTTTTATACTTTACAGTGTGCAAGTCTTGGGATCTCTCTCAAATAAATAAGTAAAATCTTTAAAAAAAAAAAAAAAAGATTCTCTCCCTTTCCCGCTGCCCCTCCGCTGCTCATGCTCTTTCAAATACATAAAAATCTTTTAAAAAAAATATCTTATTCATGTATTTGAGACAGAGAGAGAGGGAACACATGAGAGAGAGAGAGCATGAGCAGGGGGTTGGGGGGGAGGTAGAGGCAGAAGGAGAGGGAGAGGGAGAAGTAGTTTCCCCCCACTGAGCAGAGAGCTTGACGTGGGGCTCGATCCCAGGACTCCGGAATCATGACCTGAGCTGAAGGCAGACACTTAACCTACTGAGCCACCCAAGAGCCCCTAAGATTTTATTTTTAAGTAATCTCTACACCCCAAATACAAGAAAGAGAGAGAGAGAGCGGGGGGAGGGGCAGAAGGAGAGAGAGACCGAGAATCTCCAGTAGACTCCACGCCCAGCGCAGAGCCCGAGGTGGGGCTCAATCTCACGACCCTGAGATCATGACCTGAGCCAAAACCAAGAGCCGGACGCTTAACTGACTGAGCCACCCAGACTCCCCAGTATTTCACTATTTTTTTTTTTAATGGAATGTCCTGTTCTTTTTTTTTTTTTTTAGATTTTATTTGTCAGAGAGAGAGTGAGCACAAGCAGGGGGAGTGGCAGGCAGAGGGAGAAACAGGGTCCCCACTGAGCAGGGAGCCCAACCTCGGACTCATCCCAGGACCCTGGGATTGTGACCTGAGCCGAAGGTAGACGCTTAAGCAACGGAGCCACCCAGGCATCCCAGTATTTCACTATTTTTGTTGCTATTATAAATGGAATTGTTTTCTTGATTTTTGGATTGTTCATTGCTAGTATATACAAGTAATTTTTGTGTATTGTCTTGTATCCTGCAACTTCCCTCAACTTACTTATTAGCTCTACTGGTTTTTGTGTGTATGTGGTTTCCTTAGGATTTTCTGTATATAGGGGTCCCTGGCTGGCTCTGTCAGTAGAGTAAACCCTTGATCTCAGGGTCCTGAGTTCAAGCCCCACATTGGGTGTGGAGCCTACTGTAAAAAAAAAAAAAAAAAAAAAAAAAAAAAAAAATGGGGCATCTGGGTGGCCCAGTGAGTTAAGCGACACTTCGTTTCAGCTCAGGTCATGATCTCAAGGTTGTTAGATGGAGCCACTTGGGTTTCTCTCTCCTTCTACCCCTCCCTCCCCCACCCCCATGCTCAGGCGTGTGCACTCTCTTTCTCTCTCTCTAAAATAAATAAAATCTTTTTTTAAAAAAAGGCCTTTCTGTATATAAGATCATGCCATCTGTAAAGAGTTTAACCTCTTCCTTTCCAAATGGGATGTCTTTTATTTCCATTCCTTCCCTAATTGCCCTGACTAGAACCTCGAGAACAAGTTGGGTAGAGGTGGTGAGAGCAGACATCTTGTCTTGTTCCTGACTTAGGGGTAAAGATTTCAGCATTTCACCATTAAGTATGATATTCACTGTGGGCTTTTCATAGATGCCCTTTATCAAGTGGAGGAATTTCCCTTCTATTACTAGTTTTTTCTGGAGTGTTTTTATCGTGAGAGTTGGACTTTATTATTTTATTTTTTAAAAAAGATTTATTTATTTGAGATAGGGTGAGAGCGAGTGAGAGAGCGAGTGCACAAGTGGGTGGGGAAGCGGCAGGCAGAGGGAGAAGGAGGTTCCCCACTGAGCAGGGAGCCCGATGCGGGGCTCAATCCCAGGACCCTGGGATCATGACCTGTGCCGAAGGCAGACACTTAACGACTGAGCCACCCAGGTGCCCCGAGAGTTGGATTTTATCAAATGTTTTTTCTGCATCTATTGAGAAGATTATGTGGAATTTTCCCTGCTTTATTCAACAAATTCTTTTGTTTTTGTTTTTAATTTGTTTATTTGACAGAGAGAGAGCACAAGCAGGGGG